CATTTGGGATCTATCAATATTCCAAATTGAATTGAAACCATCTTTTAAATGTAAGTTACAATCTGTAGAGATTCTAATGTCTTTGAGTTTGTTTTTAGAATTGTTTTTAATTGAAACTTCATGTTGATAAAATTTGCCAGTATTATCTTCATTAGTACTTACTAATTTTTGTGTCAATAATAATTGGTCGATTTCTATATAAATTTTAAAATATTAATTAAAACTTTGTTTTGTATTTTTTATTATAAATATAACTTACTTGTACAAGCAAATTCTGTAGTGTTAAGGGATGAGACACATGTTTGTTCAATGGAGCAAATATTTGGGAAATCTATGCAATTTTCTGTTGAATTTTGATTAATTGAAACTTTAATTGCAATAGATATAATTAATATTATTAAAAAGCAATAATATATTCTTTTCATTTTTTTATATTGTTTATTTTATTATTGGGGGTATTTTATTACTATTATTATTGAGATGAAGTTATAATAGTTAAATATAAATAAATTATGAAATTTTGAAATTTTTAAAAATTAATTTTAAAAAAAAAAAAAAAACCTTAGTTTTTTTAATATTTAATACTATAATTTATTATTTTAAAAAAAAAATAATTAAAAAACTATATGTTTAGTTAAATTAATTAAACCCACACGAACACACACGCCAAGTTTTTAAATTTAAAAAAGGAATAAAAAATTAGTATAAAAAATAAATAAAAGGGGTGGATGTGTGTGAATGAAAATAATTCTATGTGTGGGTTTTTATAAATCAAGTAAAAAAACGAATTCTATACTATTAATTAATATGACATTATTTCTTCTTATATTATATCTAACCTTTTTGTCTATTGAAAAAAATAAATTTAAAAATAAAAAATAAAATTAAAAAAAATATTTTTTTCGTTTGTATATCAAACTACTATTACTAATACAATTTCTAAATTTATTTTTAAATTACAAGTATATTTTTTATAGCAAAAACAAAAAACAAAAATCTATTTATAAATATTTACAAATGATATATGATAATTTTGTACAGTTGTTTTAAAAATAAAGAAAATATTTGGAGTGTGTGATTTGAAAAAAAAAAATAATATTTTATTTTTATTTTAAAAATTAAATAAAAAAACTATTTAATTCCAATTTAAATATTAATATTTAATAATCTAAAATTAATTTAAAACCAAATTTCCATAGTCGCCTCCCATTGATTTTAATGCTTCAGCCCAAATATTTTGATTTTTTGAACCTTCAAAAATAATATCATTTGAACAACCTGCTTTGAACCAAGCACCTTCATCAATTTCTTTTTGTAATTGACCTTCATTCCAAATTGTACATCCAACAAACATCATTAATTTTCTAGAATCGACTTCACCCTTTTTAATTTTTTCTCTATAGATAAATGAATTAAATAGAATTTGTTAGAATTTAATTAATAAATAAAATAAACAAATAGATTATAATTTTTATATTTACTTTATTTCTTTGAAATTACCACCAATATATAAACCCTTTCTAAGTTTTTTTGAACCAGTAATATTTGCATAAGGATGAATGATTTGAGCACCACTTAAACCTTGAAGAGTAGATAGTTTAGTATGATCTTTAATTGATTCTGGACCACCAAAAATCCAATTTTGAAGAGATGCCAAAGGACGCTTTTGTGCATATTTGGCTAATCTGAGAATATTTTTGGAGAGATTAAGATTTTCAGTATTATTTTCGTCGCTTTCCAATTGGAGATAAGTGATAGCTGGAGCAGCTGATATTGATTTATTAATTACGAAACCATAATGCTTATCACCATCGACATGGGTAATCAATACAATTTTCTTTCTAAAAAAATCCTTTAATGATGGATGTGAAATTAAAATTGTACCTGGTTTTATTTTATCGCCAGCTGCTAATGGCCAACAACTCTCTGATTTTGATTTTGACGAACCCAATTTATAAACTTTACTTGATGCGCCATATGTACTATAAACATTTGAATAAACATTTGAATAACCATTAGAATCAAATGTTTTTTCAAATGATTCGACCTGTAAATCTTTTAATAACTCTACAAATCCTGAATCTTTTGAATTACCTTGAGCTTTTCCAAAATTATTATCAGTATTTATACTATTATTACCATTATTATTATTATTGTTATTATTATTATTATTATTGTTATTAATAGTCTTATTATTGTTTATATTAATATTACTACTATTGCTATAATTAAAACTATTATTTAAACTTTCAAGAATATTTGAAAAGGTTAAATTTATATTATTATTATTATTATTTTCAACATTTATACTATTAGCTGTTTCCACATTGCCATTGTTATTATTATTATTATTATTTACACTTCCATGACTTTGATCATAGGCATATCTTGCCAAATTTAAGTTTTTTAAAACATTTAAACCAATTGATAATGATTTACTTATTTCCTAATGTAAAAAAAGAGTATTAGTATTAGTTATCGACTATATGAGATATTTTTAAAATTTCTTTATAATTACATTTTCATCATCTTGATCGACTAAATTTTTTCTAAAAAATACTCTAAAATTAAAATTGAATTGAAAACTTGGTAAATAATACTTTGGTAATTTTTGTCTAAGTTCTTGTGGTGTAACAAAGTATTGTTTATATTTTGGTTCTTTATCGAAAAGTCTTGTTTGTTTTGCAAGATTTCTATAAAGAAAAAGAGTTAATTTTTTTGTATTTTCTTTTGTAGTCATTTTTATAAATTATTTCAATTTATATAAAAATAATATAAATAATGAAAACTAAACCAAAAATAAAATTAAACTAATAGAAAAAAAAAAAAGTAAAGTGGTAATAAGTATGATTGTTATGTAAAAAAAATAATTTTAAAAAAAAAAAATAATGAAAAAAAAAAAATTAAAAAAAAATAATTAATAAAAATTAAAAAAAATAAAAAAAAATAAAAAATCATTTTTTTTTCGTTTTTTTTTTTATTTATATTTTAATTTTTATTCCAACCATTTAAATTATTTATTTTAAAAAAGGGGTGTTATTCATATTTCATACATTATAAACTATTTTTGATAATAAATAAACAAAAGAAATGATAAGAATAAAAAATTTAAATAGACTAGTTAGATATTGTAATATTAATAATTCAAATAAATTTATAATAAATAGTAATAATAATAATAACCTTTTTAGATCTTATTATTCAACATTATCATCCTCATTTTCAGAATCTGACACCACAAAAAATACCCTTAAACCACAATTAAAACAAGATAACAAAAATATTGGCATTAAACAAAAGGATCAATTAAATTTACAAATCGAAGATATCTCAATTAATAATTTATTTTATAAAAATAAATATCCAAATGAAGAGGTATCATCTATAACACCAATTTCAATTACAAATAAAATTAATAATACATTTAATGGTTTAAAATTTAACAATAGTGAGTTACAATCAAAAGCACTTTCACCAGAGATTAAAATAACACAAAATCAACACATTCATATAATCAGTGATTTTTTTAATGATGGTGCCAGAATATTTCCATTAGTAGTCAGTAAATATCTCTATAAAAGATTTCCAAATTTAACAACTGGTTATGCATTAGCATTTAACTCTTTCTTTTTATCAAGAGTTTTCATTTCAAGTGTATTTCAATATTTAAATTTACAAGATTATTTAAAAGTTGATGTATGTATAAATTATATTTTTGTGTGCACACACCCCAAAATTTATTAAAAATTACTAAAACCCAGTCTTATTAATCTTATTAATTATTTTTATTTAGCAAACTATTTCATCATATAAATATGAAAAGTTATATTATACAACATTTTTATCATTTATCGGTGCTGTATATCAAGATCAAGGTGAAAATGCAATAGAGGAAAAGATAGTACCATTATTTATTGAATATTTAGACCTATTAAACGAAGAAGAATTTAATCAATTATATTTAAGTTATCAATTAAGACTAATTAAAAAGAGAATAAGTAACAATAATAATAATAACAATAATAATAATAATAATAATGATAAAAACAATAACAATAATAAAGATAGTAATAATAAAAATAAAGAACAAGAACAAGATCAAGAAGAAAAAAGAGTTAAAAGATTAATCGAGGGTAATATTAAAAGAAGTCATCATAATAGTAACGAAAAATTATACAATTTATATTCAGTTTCATCATTAGGTATACCTCATAATTTTAGTTTACCAAAATGGTTTTCAACAATTATTTTTAGAGAAATTGATAGTCACAGTATCTACACCAAGTTAATCAGATTAACCACCAACCATTCCAAATTACCTGGTAAAATTCAATTAGTTAGAGAAATTAATAAAGGTACCGATAAATCACTTTATATTCATACCTTCTATCTTGAAGAAAATGATGATTTTAAAATCATTGGATATGGTTTAGGTAAAACTTTAGGAGAAAGTAGGGAAAATGCATATTCAGACTCTTTAATAAGATTATTATACCAAGATAAAAAAATTTAAAATAAAATAAAACTTTATAAAAATCTTATTTTTAAACAAACTTTATTAATCATTCTTTATTTTATTTTAAATATTTAAAATTGAACCTCACATTATATTTTCAATTTTTTTTCTGAAATTTATTAAATTTTGTTTTACCATTTTTCATTTCTAAGATACCAATCAAAAATTTATAATACCAATTAAATAAAAACTAAAATTAATTTTTCTTAAAATTTTACTATTTATTTAAATTTATAAAATTATAATTATCTTTTTGCAATCAAAATTAACCCTCCTTTTTTTTTATTTTTTTTTTATTTTTTTTTTTTTTTAAAATTTTTTTTTTTAAATTTTTTTTTTTTAATTTTTTTAATTTATTTTTATAATTTTTTTTTTATTTTTTTTTATTTTTTTTTTTTTTTCATATTTAATCGAATTATAATTATATTTTCTTTTATTTTTATATTTATTTTGAAACAACTTTATCTTATTATTACATTCATTTAAAAAGAAATAAAAAGAAATAAAAGAAATAAAAATAAAAAAATGACAAGTGTTTCAAATCCAATATTACAGTTTAACAATATATCTTTAGGTGGTAAAGTTGGAGGAGTATGTATATAAAATAAATATAAAGATATATGTAAATTTTAAATATATATATAGATATATAGATATACTAATATTTATTTGTTTGTTTATATTTAAAGAAAAGAGGTATATTAAAATTAACACAAACTGGATTAGGATGGAAATCAGAAGGTGGTAAAAATGAAGCAATTACCCCATCAGATATTAGAAAAGCTAATTGGATTAGAGTTACACCAAGAGTATTTCAACTAAATATTTTAATTAAAGGTGGTGCCAATATTAAATTTGATGGATTTAGAGAACAAGATTATGAATCAATTAGAAAATTTGTATTGGAAAACTATTCACAAACATTAGAACAATTAGAACTATCAACCAAAGGTTGTAATTGGGGTGAAGTTAAAGTTAATGGTCCAATGATCCAATTTGTATCGAATGACAATAAAATTGGTTTTGAATTTCCAATTTCAGAGGTATCACAATCAGTCATTAATCAAAATAATAAGAATGAATTAACATTAGAGTTTCATCATGACAATACATTAGATTTTGATGATGAGTCCATTGTAGAAATGCGTTTCTTTGCACCAACACGTCCAGTTAAAGAGGATGAACAAAAAGAGAAAAAAGAAAAAGAAAAGAAAGAAGGTCAAGAAGGCGAAAACGAAGATGAAGAGGAAGAAGAGGAAGAAGATGAAGAAGACGAAGATGAAGAATTAACACCAATAGAAATTTTCCAACAAACTATAATGAATAAATCTGATATGGTATCGAATGTTGGTAAGAGTTTGGTTGTATTCAGTTCAATTCAATTTTTAACACCAAGAGGTCGTATTGATATCGAAATGTACCCAACCTTCCTCAAACTCCACGGTAAAACTCACGATTATAAAGTACCTTATGATAGCATCTCACGTCTCTTCCAATTTGACCGTCAAGATCAAAAACATATATTCTTTATCATCAGTTTGGAACCACCCATTCGTCAAGGTAAAACTAAATATGCACATTTAGTAATTCAATTCCAAGAGGAAGAAACTCAATTAGAATTAAATCTCACCGAAGAGCTCCAACAAAAATATAAAGATCAATTATTACCAATTATGAGTGGTAACACCAATTCCCTCCTCTATAAAATACTCAAAACTTTAACTGGCAAGAAACTCACCACTCCAGGTAACTTCCAATCTAACAGAAAACTAAATAGTATCAAATGTTCATTAAAGGCCAACGAAGGTTTCCTCTATCCATTAGAAAGAAGTTTCTTCTTTGTACATAAACCACCAACCTATATTAAATTTGAAGAGATTCAATCGATCGAATTCTCTCGTTACGATGCTGGTCCAACCGCCAGAGGAGGTAGCAATCGTACCTTTGATTTAACTATAAACTATAAAAACTCTACCTCAATTCAATTTACAAATATCCTTCGTGAAGAATATCCAAATCTCTTTAATTATCTCAATGAAAAGAAATTAAATATTCTCAATCCAATTCAAACTGGTGGTCCAATGTTGGTCGACGATGAAGATGATGAAGATGATGATGATTATGAACCTTCTGAATCTGGTTCAGAAGATGATGACGAAGAAAGTGATGGTAGTGACGCAAGCGAATCTGAAGAATCCGAAGAAGAAAAGAAAGCCAAAAAGAAACAAAAAAAATAAAATAAAAATTTATATTAAAATATTTTTCTGACAAAACAAAAAAATTAAAAAAAAAAAAAAAAAAAAAAAAAAAAAAACTTGTTTACACTGGTACCATTTTTTTATTGTTTTTTATTTTGTCGCCATAAAAAAAAATCAAAATTGCATATGTATTTTTTAAACTACTAATTTTTTTTAAAGATTTTTCATTATAATTTATTTTTATTGTTAAAAAAAACGAGTTTTTAGTATTTTCCCAAGCAGAATGTTCTATTTTAAAAAAATGCGCAATCTTAGCTATTTTAATTATTTAATTTTTTTTTTTTTTATATGACAGAAATGGCAAATGAAAAAATTTTGTTTTTTTTCTTGGGAATTCTGTGAATCTTTTTTTTTTTGTTTGCAATAAAAAAATAAAAAATCAGTTAAAAAATATCTTTTTATACATATGAAGGTATTTATTGGGTAATTTTTTTTATTGATTTTTTTTATTTTTTTTTTAATTTGCTAGCACTCAAAATCAGTTTGAACCACTTCTACACACATTAATTTTTTTTGAAAATAAATAAAAAATAATAACAAAAAATTTTTTGGCAATGTTTGCTAAAAAAGCAAGGGTAAAAAAAAAAAAAAAATTATTGTTATAATAAAAAAAAATTCAGCACCACAAAAATATAATTTGTATTTTAAAAATAAATAAATAAATAATTAAATAAATATTTTTAAAAAAAAAAAAAAATAAAAAAATTTAAATATTAAAAAAATAAATAAATAATTTTAAAAAAATAAATATATATATATATATAAATTAAAGTCTTCAAATAATATAGAATTTAAAAAAACAAATAAATAATAATGGATTATAATGGAAATAAATTTTGTTGGTTTATTACAGGCTGTTCTAAAGGTTTTGGATATATATTAACTTTATTGTTATTAAAAAGAGGTTATTGCGTGACCGCTACAACAAGATGCAAAAAAAATTTAGAGGACAAGATAAAGGAAGATATAAAGGATGATAGATTAATTGAAGATAATCTGTTAATAGTAGAGATTGATTTAGCCAAAGAGTGTCAAGTTAGAGAGGGTATACAAAAATCGATTGATACATTTGGTCGTTTGGATGTAGTAGTAAATAATAGTGGATTTTTAAAAATAGCAGCAGTCGAAGAAATTAGCGATGAAGAGTTTAGAGAAGTATTTGATAGTAACTTTTTCAGCATGTTAAATGTATTAAGAGTATCACTTCCCTTTTTAAGAGAGTACACAAAAACAAACTTGTACGGAGGCTGTAGAATTTATAACATTTCATCAATAGGGGGTATTTTAAATTTATCTCCAGGATCTTCACCCTACTCTTCCACAAAATTTGCAATGGAAGCTGTTTCAGAATCATTATATTACGAAATGAAACCACACAACGTTCATGTTTCATGTGTTAAACCAGGTTATTTTAGAACTTCAATTAGAGAGTCGTGTCAAGTTTCATCAAATCCAAATAGCATTTATTCGAATGTAAGGGATGCTGAAAATTCAAGACCCAATTGGACATTCAATGGCGATCCAGAAAAAGCTATGAACATTCTTATTGATCTCTCTATCCATGATCGAAATCCTCCACTCCATTTATTTTTGGGTCCAGAAACTATAGAACTTTTCAACAAAAAACAATTACATTTACAAACTGATTTAGAAAACTATAAACATTTAACAATATCAACTAATTTTAATCAATAAAAAATAAATTAAAATTTTTAATTCTTGTTTAAATTAGATACAATTTTTTTTTAATCAAATAATTAAATTCATTTTTTTATTTTTTTTATTTTTTTTTTTTAAATTCCAACAAAGGAAATATTAAATCAAAATTTATTTTTATCTTTTCCAATTAATCATTTTTTATAATTAATGGTTTAGAATAGAATCTATTTATAAAAAATAGCATGGTCAATGTTTATGTAAAATTAAATTATATTAATTGAAAAAAAAAAAAGAAAATTAATTTTAAAAAAAGAAATTTTTATTTTTTTTAAAATTTTTTTTTTTTTAATTTTTTTTAATTTTTTTTTTTTATATAAATTGAAAAATTTTTTTTATTTTTTTTTTTCATTTTTGTTATTAAACTTCTTTCATTCTTTTACTCTTTTTTTTTTTTTTATTCTTTTTTTTTTTTATATAATATATTTATTTATTTATTTTGTTTAAAATCATATTAAACAAACTGAAATCATAGCTGTATATATTCCACTAAATAACAGCAACAATAATCGAATCTTTTATAATTTAATATAAATATTATAAATAAAATATTTTTATCACCCATTTTTTTCTTTTAATAGTTATATTTACTCACATATATTTGTATATATAGTTTTTTTTTTTTAAATTATTATAACAAGGTCAACTACTAATAATAATAATATAACAGTAACAATAATATTAATCATTTTAATAATAAATAAAAAATAATAAAATAAATAATTATAAATATAATTATAATATAATAAATAATAATGAGTGTTTCAAATGTTTATAAATATATTATTGAAGAGGTTATAAGAAATATAAAAACAGAATTAAAAGAAGATTTTGCAAATGATGGTTTACAAGATACAATTATTGATGAAATTCAGCATGTAAGATCAAAACTATTTTTTTTATAATTAAAATTATAATTAATCATAATTTATACTAATATATTTTTATTCATACCAGATGTGGGAAGCAAGATTAGAACAATCGGGAGCCATTCCCGAACCAGAAGATAAAACACCACAAGTTCCAACCACTGGTGCTGGTGTACCACAAAATAAAACATCACCATCAATAACTTCCCAAGCACAACAAAATATATCCGCAACTGAAGTAATTATTTTTAAAAAGTCTTTATTTAATCTTAATTTTAAATATTAATCTTTATAAATTTCCTTCTCTATCATTTTAGTCTGATGCTAGAAATGCATTAAATAGTTTATATCAATTAAACAATGGCACACCTCAAGCAACAGCCGCAACCACTACCACTACAACCACCACAACCACTACTACAGTACCTCAACAAATACCACAAGAACAATCAAATGGCCAAATACAAAATATGCCATCACTTAGAGAGGCAACAAGTTCAGCACCAATTCCAACTAATAGTTCAAGTCAATCATTACCATCAGTAAATATTCTTTATTTAAGCTTCTATATAACTTTAAAAATTGTAACTAACTTTTATTTAACATAGTCATTAAGTTTAATTATGAATCCTATTCCACAAAACGATGGCACAATCGACCAAGAAGATGAAGATTTAGAAGAAAAAATGAAAAATAAAAAGTTTTTAGATAATTTAATTATAACAAATATTTTAAAAAATAAATTTAATATTAGTGGTGAAGATGATATCCCACAAAATGATGGAAATGATGACGATGATGTTTTAGATGTATGTATTCATTAATGGTGTATTTAAAAATAATATCAATATACTAATATCTATGTTTTTTATTTATTTTAGGATGAAGAAGCCAATATTAATAAAGTTGAAGAAGATTCATTAGGTAGTGATTTAGATGATGAGGAGGATGATGATCCAGATCCAGTTATTGAACATTATGTCCTTTGTCAATATGAAAAAGTTACAAGAATAAAAAATAAGAGAAAGTGTATTTTTAAAGATGGTATAATGCATTTAAATGGAAAAGATTCACTTTTCCACAAAGCCAATGGCGAAGTTGTATGGTTGTAAAAAAAATTATAATAATTTTAAATATAACATTTTAATTTTTTAAAAAATAACAAAATAACAAAAAAAATAAATAATAAAAATCACCAACAAAAAAAAAGAAAAAAAGAAAACACATTATACTTTTTGTTGTGTAAAAAAAAAAAATTCAATTGAAATATAGTTTTTTGATAATATTTATTTTTTTATCATAGAAAGAAAAAAATAAAAGAGCAAAATTATATTTAATGTTTAAATAAATCTTTAATTTAATAAAAACTATAATTATATTATTTATTATTTATTATTATATATTATATATTATTTATTATATTATTATTATATTATTTATTATAATATTTATTATTTCCTATTATTATTTTTTATTTATTATCCATTTTTATTTTATATGATTTTATAGAATTCTTTTTTTTTTTTTTTTTAATAAAATTGTAAAATTTTTATTTTATTTTATTTTTTTTTTAAAAATTTAATCGACTAAATAAAAAAAAACATAATATATATTATATAAAATTTAAAGAAAGTTTTATGATGGATTGGTATAAAGTGGATTAGTACCTTGGTGTGGAGATGGTTCATATAATGGATTTTCACTTGATACAGCCATTTGATTGTTTTTCATACCTTTCCAAGAGTCATAACCTTTTTTAGCTCCAAATATAGCTAAACCTAATGCAGCAGCACCACCAATAACAATACCAGCTGTAGCAGCAGCACCTATACCAACCGCAGCTTTAACACCAGCAGATTGGCATCTAAAAGGAAGTGGGTCAAAGTCTTTGAATTTACACGATTGGGTAGCATTATCACAAATACCATATTGGCAATGTGGATTACTTGGAACACATACTCTTGGATAGATGTTACAGCCGCCATAATTAATGTCACATTGACCGACCATACAGAAAGATGGTGACGAACAAATCACTGGTGCTTCAACACATCCTAACTTGGGGTCACATGAAGCTACAACGCAAACTGATGATGGTAAACAAGTTATATTACTGTGCATGCATCCCTCTCCTATCTTACAATAATCATTGGTACATTTGTTTTTATCGTCACATGTAATCTTTGTATTTATACATTTACCATCTGGTGAACAGCTATCTTCGGTACAAATCGAACCATCGTTACAAACATCAGTTATTATACATTGACCAGTTGCCATGTTACATTGGGGTTTATTACATGCATCTTTTGCTTCACATTCAACAGGTACATTAGAGCATTTACCAGTCTTTGGATCGCAGCTATCTGTGGTACATAGATTTCCATCATCACAGTCCGTTAGCGCAACATCATTACACAAAGAACTATTATATGGATTACATTCTCTTCTTACGCAAAGATTGGTTGGATCTGGGATACATGGGTTTGGTTCTGCGCAAGGTTGGCAGTTTGGTATCTTTTCATTAACACAGCCATCAACTCCACATGTATCTATTGTGCAATGGTCGTGGTCATCACATGTATTTTTAATATGTGAACAACCAAAGCCTGGTATACATGTATCTATGGTCTAATATTTAAAAAATAAAATTAATATAAAATAAAAAATTTAAGAAATATTAAAAAAACTTACGCATGGATTCATATCATTACATAAGTTTATAACTTGACAGGTATTGTTGGTACATGGTGTAGCCCAACATGTTGGATCAGAGTGATCTGCAGAAAAGCACTTGGTTTCAACTTCATAACATCCACCCATTTCTTCTGAACAAGCTTGTTTATCACAGAAGTTTGTGAAGGGACATGGATCCTTATTTTGAATAACCTCACATTTCTTTGTATCTGGACTGCATGCATAGCTACTGCACATGGTATCTTGAAGAGTACAATTTGGTTCATTCATTATGCAATTATATCTCCAGTCTTTTCCTGGTGCTAAGCCTTTTGGTGGTGGACACTCCCAGGTACCACATGGTGAAAGATTACCATAGCAACTATCTGGGTTACAGCACTTTCCTGTACCTTCACAAACGCCGCAATAATCAGTATACTGTATAAAAAACAGTGGTAAATATTTAATTTTTTAATTATAAAAAAGGGTAAATTATTTTTACTTACTTTGCACTCTAATGCTAAACTTGTAGTAATTTGAATATAGGAGTCATAGGTGTGTCTTTCACAATAAAAGAAATCAAAATTATAACGGTTTCCAATTTTTAAACCCAAGTCATCTAAATTTACTGTACCAGATTCTGCAGTATGTGGTGCACCTAAATCAATAACCAATTTATTATCAATGAAGACCCAAACGTCATCATCACCTTTGAAATTAAATACTTCACCACCAATATATGTAAAAGAAGCATGCATTTCTAAAGAGAAGTGGTAGTTGTGACCAAAGCCATTGTTGTCTTTATAAATTGGTTCGTTTGGTTTTCTTCCTCTATATGATGGATCTTGGAAACCTTTACCATCAATTGGGAAAAAATATTTATCTTCATAGTAATATACTCTTGGGTCGGTTTCGTTTTGGGTGAATACCAAGTTAATATAGACTGGGGTATTTACACCTGGTACATCGTGGAACCAGCTATGGAATGTTGATTGGTTATGAACTACGAAATTGGTTGCAGTGTTACTTGGTGCATGGTTATCACCACAACAATAAACAGGTGATCGGTCAATGGGATTTAATTTTGGTTTTACAATTCCTTTAACAACTGTATTGTTGTTTTTTATTTCATAATCTGGATTGGTTAGTGGTGAAATATCTCTTATCGTTACCGGAAATATTCTAGTGTTTTTGGGTTGGCCTATATTAAAATTAAATTAAAAACAGTTAACATATTATAATTAAAAATATAGATTCATTAAAGATATTTACAATAAACTATAGATATAAAAATTAATAATAGAATTATTAATTTTTGTATCATTTTTTTTAATATATATTTTAAAAATATTAAAAAATGTTTTTAAAAAAAATATAGATTTTATTTTATTTTGTTTTATAAATATTATTATTATTTAATTTATTGGGATACTAATAATCTAAAAAGTACAACAATCAAAATTATTTTAAAATAATTATATTAAAAAATTAACAATTTATAGTATATAAAAAATAAAAAATTTCTATTTTTTGTTAAAAAATCTAAACACAATAGTTATTATTATTATTATTATTATTTTTATTATTATTATTAGTAATGGTATTTTATTTATTAAAATGAAAAATAAAAAAAAATAATTATTTAAACCCAAAATAAAATATCTTTATTATTTTATTTTTAAATATTTAAAAATAATTTTTAAAAACACCTGTATTTATATAATGTTATTCTGATAATTTTTATTGTTTTTATTTTTAGTAAGTGATTTTTTAAAAATCAAAAGGTTTAACCTTTGTATAAAATATATACTCTGTTTTCTGTTTTTCCTTTTTTTTATATTTTACAAAATGATTGTATTTATTTGATAGTATGTATGTGGAGGTTGTTAAAAATAACTATTTTTTTATTAAAAATAAAATTTAAATTAACATAATTATGATTGTTTAAATATATCTTTTTTAAAAAAAATTTAACACAATTGTTTTTTATTTAACAACTAATTTTATTATTTTTTTAAAATAAATATTTTAAAATTTAATGATAAAATAAAATATTTTTATTTATATCATTTTATATTTGTTTTTTTCATAATTTATTATTGTTATAAAATTTCAATTGTTTTTCTTTGTTAAAATTATTTTATTTTCTTTTTATTATATTTATAATTTTGCCAATAATGTTTATTTGGTATCAAAAATATTTTTTTATTATAACCATATATGTACATATATGTATATGTATTATTTTTTGATTAGTATTATCCTTATTATTAAAATTTTACTGCTTATTTAGTTTAAAATATTTTTTACTATTCCAAATTAAAAAAAATAGTATTTTTTAAATTTTAAACCCCATTACATTTAATTTTAATACCTTTATTTAAAATTTTTAAATTCACCCATTTATTATCACCCCACACCACACAAAGACAAAAAAACAGACACTAACACACGAATACATGAACACACAAATCCATTAAACAAAAATACTTTTTCTTTTTCTTTTTCTTTTTTTTTTTTTAAAACAATTAGAATAATTGTTATTTATAATTATTTTCTTTTTACATATTATTAATAATATTAAATTGAACATATTTAATAAATTTGTAAAATCTTTTTAATAAATATTTATTTCTTTTTTTATAATTATATTGAAAAAAAAAATTATTTTTATTCTTTTTTTTTTTTTATTTTATATTTTATATAAATAAAAAATTAATTTTATTTTGTTTAATATAAAAATGATTTGAATTAAAAACTATTATTATTATTATTATTATTATTTTATTATTATTATTATTTTTGAATTAAAAAGTATTATTTAAATGATTTTAATATGATTGGTATACCATAAACTATACATGAACCACCAACCAAATATTTCCATTCACATGATTTTCTGGCCATTGAAATTGCCAAACTTATATCTATTGACATCGGTTGACATTCATTTTTTTTTAAGTCTAAAAACCATTTATTTAAAAATGATTTGGTGAGTCTATCGCAATCTGAAGTTGGAACATCAAAAACATTACCTATAACTCCTTTACTACCTGCTAATAAGAAATCTAAAATTACACCTGTTGGTTCGAATTCGCCTTGTTCTTCGAGATGACCACTCTTACATCCCATTAACACTGCAACACTACACTTTTCTAATTTTTGAATACGATCGCCTCGGAAATATTGCTCACCAGAACCATGACCCATATAGAAAAAGATATCATGGTTTTCAAGAGCAGATTTATATTGTTGCTTGTTTGGGGTTTGACCAATAATGCCGCTCCATTCTGGGAACTTCTTTTTAAAGTATGGTGAAAAATATTCTTCTGTTTCTTTTAGGCCACCATTTGGATTAAGTAAATAAAACACACTCTTTGGGTCGATAACTGGCATTTTCTTTGAGAAACTATTTGATTGTTGATCATAACAAAGATATCTCTGGAATGTAAATGATGGTAATCTATAAAGTGAAAGTTGACCTAATGGTTCCATTGATTCAAACGGTATAGAATGAAGGTATTTATCTACAATCAATACAATTGGTTGTTTTTCCTGTGATAAAAATTCGGTCATTGATGGGGCAGAAAAATTTGCTAATGGTGTAGTTGGAGGTGATGTGGATAAAACTTGGTTACTATTGGATGTAAAGAGGCTAAAGGTATTTGAGGGATAACATTTCTTACATTCGCTTGATAATAAATTATAAATTTCGATAATTGATTGAAAATTTGGATGACCATCGAGAGTAGAAGCATTTTGATCTAAGGTTGGATACTCCATCAACTCTATAATACCATCTGTTATTGCTCTTTGACTAAGTATTGGGAAACCATAAAAGAGGCAATCAAATAAAACACTATCAAACTTCTTTATACCTTTGGTCTTTTTATTTGAACTTTCAATAAATAATTGATTATTTATAATTTCCATTAATGAATCTCTGGTTTGTTCATATCTTTCTTTTACTTGCTGATTTACTAATGACCCAATTAATAGTGTTTTCCATGGACCAAACAAAGAATCTACCAAAGATAACACCTTCCCAATTTCGAACTCTAGTGTTTTTCTCTTATAAAACCATGCTTTTCTACTATCTCCATTATCATTTGGTGTATTTTCTTTATTGTTAAACAAGTTTTCACTTTCAATAACCTTGAGATTACCCCTAATCTTATCTAAAATATTATATTTATAAATTAAATTTTCTCCAACTTCATCAATTTCTTTTTCCTCCTCTGATTCTTCAGATAGATTATCGCCATGGTTCAAATAGGAGCTTTCTATTTTAACGTTTGAAGCTGATGAAACAATTGACATTGCTTTCGATGATTTAATGTAATTTACATTTTCAAATTCTTCTGTATCAGTTGAATCACAATCCTCTTCGAGTTCCATTTCCATCTCCTCTTCCTCTTCTAAATCTTCTTTATCAATAAATTTACTATCATTACAATCTTCTTTTTCTTCTTCCTGCTTATTAATTTCTTCACTAAATAATTTGTTGCTGTTTGTTTCATTATTTAATAGTGGTATTTTTGATCTAATTAAAATTGGAATTTGGTTTGAAACCAATTTGCAGATGATAAAGTGCCCATCCTCAAAAGTCAAACTACAAGTGCTCCAATCGGTTGGAAGGTCGGTACTATAGATTTTCTTTAATTTATTTGTAAATGTAATATCACCAAGTTGGTTAGGTATATCAATGCCACCGTTCCAGGAAAATAAGGATTCTTTAGTAGATAATAAATGGTCTTGGTTCTTCATAACCTTCTCTGATTTTTGATAATGTAAAATGGACTGCATGTCATGCTTAGCTTTGATACCAATAGAAAGATTGATGAAATGGCAAGTTACAAATGGTAATAGTTGACCGGTGGTGAGAGCGAGGAATTTACAAATAAGAGAGTTTAACTTTATCAAATTATATTTTCCGACTCTATCAAATGACCTTAGTAACAACTCTCTGGCGGATGAAATTGATGGATGAACTTTAAAATTATTTACACTAATGGTTCTTGACCAAATTTTATCTTTATAATCGCTATCTACAGAAAGATAATATGCTCTACCCAGATGAAATTCTAAAATTGATAGGGTAATATCATTACAATATTTATGTTCTGGATCTGAATCTCTTGATTGGATAAGTTGTTCTAAAGAATCTATAGCTGAATCATATTTCTTTTGTGCAATTAATAATTTAATTATTTTACCTTTAATACGGAGTTCTAGAGATGACAAATGATTTTTAATTTCTTCAATATTCAAAAAACCTTTATTATCCCAAGCTGTAGAATCAATGATTTGGTCAATTACATTTGTCTGTTCATCTTGCTCGAGCTGTTGCATAAGCTGTTGTTGTTGTTGCTGTTGCTGTAGCTGTTGTTTTAAATTTGACTTTGACTTTACCAATGAATTTGCTGCTGCTGCTGTACTCTTCGATGATAATAGTTTAATTAATCTGGCCTCTTTTGGTGTTGAATCGTTGGTAATATTTAATAAATTGTTAAACTTTGATAATAATTGGTTTTCGTCGTTATATAAATTTTTAATATGCGAAAGTGATTTCTTATAATGGAGCTTTGATTTTGAAATAATTGTTTGTTTTCTATATAGATCACCCAAGAGCATATTTGAAAGAATTGATGGTTTTTGAAGGGATGGTTCGATGACACCAGTTTTAGATGAATGTCTTGATATTAAAAACAAAACCAATTCCAAATTAATTTTACTATCCACATAATTTTGCTTTGAATAAAATAACTCACCAATTTCAACAAGAAATTCACATGTAACTTTAATTGAACCATAAATAATACCAATTAATAACCCTCTTTCGTAATAATACTGAGCTTCTTTTGGTCTACCTCTAAGCTCAAATATACTTGAAATGTGTAATAACGAGTCTAAACATATTTTGAGAGATGCCCATTTACTACTTGTAACTGGAAGTAAACTAAACATTTCCTTTGTTGGTTGAGTCGATGACGATGATGATGGTGATTGATTTTGGCGGTTAGGTGTCTGTGGTTGCTGTTGTTGTTGTTGTTTTAATTCTTTCTTTTGCTCTTTTAATAAATCAATAGACTCTATTGGCATAGCAGTAAATATACATTGAATTAATTTATCTGAAACAACAAAAGCCATGGCGGAGTTGGTTTGTGAAACATAAATATTTGATACAGTTTTTGAAATTTTCATAAATATCGAAATATCGAATGATTTATAATTTGTTTCTATTTGTTTTAGACATTGGTTATATAAATTAATAATTTCATTGCAACTATTTAAAAAAATAAAATAAATATTAATAATTTTTTTTTTATAATTTTTTTATATGTTATAAAATACTTACACTGTATCATCAGAAGGATTTAGATAATACTTTAATTCATAGGAATGAATTGAATAATTTAATTGAAAAGATTCTAATTTTTCATTAATTAAAATTGGTTGATAAGATTTAATTAGCCTTTCATTTAATTCTAAATAATACTTTGATTTTGATATATTGTTTAATTCTAAAAAGTGAGAACTTATTAAATTATAACATTTTGAAATTTCTGTAAGATAACAAAGTGAACCACATGAAAAAAGACATTTTACAAAGCCAACAACTAATTTTAAAGCGAATATTGAACTAACATAGTCACCTTCAAAACTATATATATCGGCCATATTATAAAGAAGTGAAATTGTAGTATGTGGAGAGATGAATGATTTTAAGTTTTCTATAATATAAGGTTCATTAGAATTTGATTTTTGTTGAGGAATTGTAGCAGTTGCTGGTGGTTTAACTAATGATTCTAATAACTTGCACCAAAGATTTAATGAAAGCTTAAACTCTTTACTAATGATACTATTCTCTGATCCAATTGGTGAACGGAATCTATTTTGGTCAGTTGCTTTAATAAAATTACAAATGGACGTTGATGAAGTGTATACAAATAATTCGCTTTCGCTTTCGTGATGATATGGGGTATTTGATTTTAATTTTTGTTCTTCCTGATCACTTGATAAATATTTAATAATATCTTTACATTGATTTTGGTGTAATTCTACAAAAGTAATTGCTCTCCAAAAATGGACCTTGGCCAACTCATTAAATATTGCTGATTCGAATGGTTGATCACTTGCTAAATTAGTTGTTTTAATAAAATCTATTGATTGTTGGAATACTGATTCAATATCGTTTTGCTCTGGATTATAGAATCTTAGAACCTTTGCTTTTTCCATTAAAAATCTACCATGAAGTATTGGGTGGCTTTCGATAGGAAGAGCATTTAAAATTTTGTCAATTTGGATGTATAGCAGTTGGTGACCATTGATTTCGTTGATAATATTTGTAAAATTTAAAAGAGCCATATCGTAGAGTTGAATTTTAAAATCCAAATTAAAACTCTTATTATCAATAGAGACTATATCATTGATAAATAAAAGATCTGAATAGTTTGATTTGGTTTTTTGGGTTTGGTTAAAGAGGTGTAGTTGAGTAAATGCCAAATTTCTTAAAATCTCTTGAATAGATCTACGCTTTGATGAAGTGGTGTTATTATGAATTACCTCTGTAAAAGATTTCTTATCTCTAAGGAATGATTTAATTGATTCTACTGCATAGTGATGGGATTTTAAATAGTTTTTAACCTTTAAATAAACTTGGGATAAATAAAAGAAGCTTGATGATAAAGATTCATAGTGTTGTTCGATGGCCAATGCATTTGCGGCAACTAAAGCTGGACTATTAGAGGCAGGTTTACTTTTGATAACTAGCATTGACTTATCCAATAGTTTAATTGAACCCTCGAGGTAAAAGATTGCTAATTGATAATCGTGAGGTTGTGTGAGTTTATAAAAATGAGTACCAATATTATAGAAAAAACTTGAAAGCTCCTCCAAACCATTACCGCTACAGAACTCTAAGGAAATAGTAAGCAAGTCACGATTAATATCGTTAAATTGAGATTTAAAATCGTCTGGTATAACCCCTTGGAATCTCTTGAAGTATTCATAAAGAGAATACGAATAACTCTTTAAGAAATCGTCGATATAAAGTACATTGGCTGGATTCATTTTATTTACAGGTAAGAGTTTTTGAGATTGTTGGAATGATTGCATCCATTTAATTACAAGTGAAGGCATTAATAAATAATACTGATTGAACAATTGAATTTGTTGAGATATTTCGATTTTAAACTGTTTCTCTTTAAATGTTGACATTAAACCCTGTTCTATTAGACTTTGTAACAATAAACCTAAAATTTTGAAATAAATAAATTTTGAATCTACCAATAACATTGAATTTGTATTATCTATTAAAAACTCTGTATTCATCAATGCCTTTTCGGTTAACTGATGTATCATTAATAAAGTTTTGTGTAATTCTCTTTCCATTTCTGGGTTGTTTGAGTCATCTTGTTGCTTTTGTTGCTTTATTTTATTTGCCAATACCAAAGTCTTATTTGTCCAAAAATACAATTGTAATATTATTATTTCAGTTTGAAAATATTTTATAACTTCTCTATTTTCTTTTTTACTTTTTATATATTCACTTTGAATGTCAACCAATTCATTTAAAAACTGATAATTTTTCTAAATAAAAATAAAAAACTATTAGTATAAATACTCTTTAAATAAAAATCTGGGATAATGGATAAGTTATTTTACTTACAAGCTCAATTGCCCAATTTGAAATAACAGATAATGATGCAATAAATAATGGATCTAGTGTTGGTTGTGTTATCATTGATGAAAATAAATTTGATTTAATAATATTTAAAATATCTTGTAAAATTTTCCAACAATTTGGTTCTATTATAATAAAAAAGCTGCATTAGTAAATCTATAATTAGCCAAATAATAATGTTTGTGTATATAATATTTACCTATATAATAATTTTTTTTGTGAACAGCCAATAAAAATACTAATAGTCTATCAAAGAATCTGTGTGGTGAAAAAGTTTTTGAAAGTGAGCTCCAAGCTAAAAAACTACAGTGTAAAATGATAGAGTCTCTAATATCTTTGGGGAGAAGGTTATCTTCGGGTGATTTATATCTTTGAAGTATATATACAGTTCTATTATAAAATTTGACAAATAAAGCATCATGGTAGATATTTGGCTTATCAACAACTTCAAAACGACACTGGAACCATTGTTTATAAGACTCTATAAAATGTTGAAATAGTGGTGAATTGGGTGGTTGCTGGAGTAATTTTAAATCTTCAAAACATTGTAATTTAGTAAACATTGCATGAACAGTTGTCTTTTCAAAATAATCGAATTCGCTATCTGGATAAGTCTTCTGAACCACTGGCAGTATCTTTAAAAATTCGTTCATTGATTCGATGCATCTCTGTAACATTTTTTGCTCTGCAAATACACCACCGATTAATATCCATTTTTTATGTAATGAACATGAATTCTTTGTTACTGGCCATTGTGATAGTTGTTTTAACATTAAAACTTGACTCTCCAAAACAATCGATAACCCATCTTTGAATAATACTCTTTTCGTAAATAATTCATTTAATACTTTATTAATTCTATCTAATATTAATAATAAACTTTTTCCATCTCTAAATGAAAACATAAATAAAATAAAAAAATTAAAATTAATTCTGTATCCTTTTTATCTATTTCCTATTTTATATTATTTACTTTTTATCCATATATTCCTCTAAAACATTATTTATAATCAACAAAATTTCCTGTTGCAATTTTTCGTAATCATTCTTTCTTGTTTGTATTAACTTTTGAAACTCGTCTTTATTTTCGATGATTTGAAGAATCTCTTCAATTTTTGTAGACATTATTATTTATTAAAACATAAATTATTTATTATTTTATTATTTTATTTTATTATTTTATTAAATAAATAAAAGATAAATAATAAAATGCGTCTGTGTAGATATTATAATATTTAATATTAAAAGAAAAAAAATTAAATTATTATTTGTGTTATAAAAAAATAAATTCAAAAAAAAAAAAATTTTAAAAAATAAATTTATAAATGCAAAAAAAAAAAAATTGCCGCGAAATGGGAATCTTTTTCTTTAAAAACACACAACCAATAAATTGATCCAAATTTGGTAATTAAAATATATAAAAAGTAAATAATGAATAAATCTTTATTGGTTTAATTTAAAATAATAAAAATAACAAAGATAAAAACTATTGTTTTTGGTAATAATGATGCCAATTTGTTGGAACTACTATCCTTCTGATCTTCGGTTGTTGAATTTGAACTCGAGTTTGAATTTAAATTTTCGATTGATGAAGAAAAAATAGGCATTGGCTTGGATCTTTTTTTTGGCGAACGGGTAATATTTAATTCCTTGGTTATATTATTATTTAAAACTGTTGTGGTTGTTGTTGCTGTTGCTGTTGCTGTTGTTGTAATATTATTATTTATTGATGTTGTTTTTGACCTTGTTATATTTGTTGTTGTATTATTATTGTTATTATTGTCCAATGTAGCATTTGAAAATATTCTTCTTAATTCATCAACGGTATAACTTTTTGAGGAACTATCATAAAAACTATCACCAAAGAAATTATTATTATTGTTGCTGTTATGATCACCACTTAAGTGAGCTGGAATATAGCCACCAGTGGACGAGACAGATGAAGGCTTACCAGAATCAAGAGCAGTAGAAGCAGTTATTGATGCTCTTATAAAAGCACCAGAAGCATTAGAATCATCAGGGGTATTTGATGAACTTGATAAAGCATCGACATTTGTTGTTGTTGTTGTTGTTGTTGATGTAGCTATAGGACTACCAGGAGCATTAGAAGCAGCAGCTCTACCATCATATACAGATAACTGATATTGCATACTTGTAAAAACAACATTTTGGTGTTCAGTTGAGTCAATTGGAGTATCCCTAACATCTATCTTTACTTCTCTGTTATTAAACTTGTCTACCAATATATATTGACCCTCTTTGAAGAATTTGATAGTTGAACCAATATTTAATAAAACTTCGTTTGGAATATTTAATTTATCTAAAATACTATCTTTGGATGTTGTTGTTGTAGATTCTGAAAAAACCAATTGTAAAAAAAAAAAAATAATCAATAAATAATAAATCAATTTATTTATTGTCATTGTGTTTTATAAATATATGTTTTGGAATTATAAATATTTAAAATTATATAAAAATGAAAATGAGAAAAAAATTAAAATTTTTTATTTAAATAACATGTTTGATTAATATGTGATATTATTTACCTTTAAAAACTAACTAATTGATTTTAATACAATATTATACATTTACAATTATTATAAATAAATAAATAAAAAAAATATAAAAAAATTATAAAAATGAAAAAAATGAAAAATGAAAAAAACAAAAAAAAGATAATTGGGGTATCATTATATATTTAAATCAAATTATTTTTGGTGTATGTATCATTATTTTTTTAAATTTAAATAATAACACAATAAATTAAGAATAACCATATATTATCGGAACTGATAGGAATAATACGATATCAAATTAAACATGCTCAACTTCAATATTAAAAACTATAGTTCCGAAAATAAAGTAATAAATAATAAAACTAATAATTATAACTACCAATAAATAATAAAAATAAATAAAAATAGTCACACCCAACATTTCATTTTATATAAATTTTAAAAAAAAAAAAAAAAAAAAGATTGTTTGTGTGGTAACACACACAATTTTTTAAAAACCATTTTTTTTTATTTATTTTTATTTTAATAATTTTAAAAATAATAATTGTTTAAACAAATAAATTAATTTCTTTGTATAATTATTCAAAACCCCAAAAATTATAATCATTGATTTTTTATTAAAATAGAAATAATCATTTTCAAATAATTTATTAATTTGTTATATTATTATTTAATTTATAAAATTGATGAGCTGTATTATGCATCGGAATTATTTGGAACAAGAAAAAAAAAAAAAAAAAAAAAAGAAATAATTGTAATTCTAGAACACAATTATTTCTTCAAAGAATCTTTTGTGTAATTTTTTAAAATAAAAAAAAAAACAAAATGAAAAAAAAATAAAAAAAAAAAAAATTGGGATTATTGGGCTATTTTCTTTTTATGTATCTTTGTTTTAAACAACCACCACCTGTTTCTATAAATTGCAAAAAAATAATCATAATAAAAATAATAAAAAAGCTTGAATAATTATTTTGATTTTGATGATTTTGTGTGAGTGTGTTAAAATATTATGATTATAATCACAAAAAAATAAAATAAAAAAAAAAAAGTTGAAAAGGCACAACAATAGTATCTGATTGCAAAATAAATTTTTTTTTTTTTTTTTTTTTTCCTTTTTTTTAATAATTATAATAAAATTAATAATAAAAATCTACTCAAATTTTTAAACAACATGACTCCTATCACATAAAACCTTGGAAAATTACAAAGCATATTTTATTTAAATTTTTAATTTTTTTTAATTTTTTTAATTTTTTTTTTTAAAAAAAAAATCAAAAGGAAATTGAATTTAAAAATTTTTTTTTTTTTTTTTTTTTCAATAATTGTTATATAACAAATAATATATATATATAAACATGAGAAATTTATTACTCTTAGTATTAATTTCTGTTTGTTTAGCTGTCCCAGCTTTATCATTCAACAGAGATTCAAACTGGATCCAACACAACAGAGCTGGCAAACATGAAATTGTCAACTTCCATGTTGCTCTTAACCAAAGAAACCTCGATGTCCTCGAATCCACTTTATTAGATGTTTCAAACCCAGAATCACCAAACTACGGTATGCATTAAAATATAAAAAAAATAAAAATAGAAAAAAAAAATATAAATAGGAAATAAAAAAAAAAAACAATTGTTTTTTTTAGGAATTTAAAAAAAAATAATTTTAAAAAAAAAAAATAATGATCATCAAAAAATAAAGAAATTAATATTAATATATGAATAAAATTAAATAAAAATAGGTAAATATTGGGATATGGAATCAGTCCTTGCTTTAGTTGCCCCAGAACAATCAGTTGTCGATCAAGTTGCTCAATTCTTAAGAAACAGCGGTTGTCAATCAATTGAAGTTCACAGTGATTTCATCAAAGCCTCTGCTCCAGTCTCAGCTGTTGAAAAAATGTTCTCTGTTGATATGTTCAACTACAAACATGCCCACAAAGCTGGTCAAACTTTAGTTCGTTCAAAACAAACCTACACCCTTCCAAAAGAAATCAGAGAACACGTCCACATTGTCACTGGTCTTTCTGAATTACCACACTTAAAGAATGGTCCAAAAGCCCACAAATTAAACACCAAAGCCTCACCATCATCAGATCCAGGTATTGTTGTCCCAGCCACCATTCAAGGTTTATATGGTATCCCAACTGGTTACAATAACCACAAAAATACCTCACTCTGTTTAGCTGAATTCTCAGACGATCGTTCATACAATCCAAAAGATTTAAATACTTTTGCCTCTAAAACCGGTACTCCATTAATCAATGTTGTTAAAAACGTTGGTCCATTCCAACCAACTAACCCAGATTTAGAATCAACTTTAGATGTTCAATATGGTGGTGCTATTGCCGAAACTGCTCAAGTTTGGTTCTGGACCGTCGATGGTTGGATGTTCGAATTCTCATCAGCTCTTGCTGAACAATACCCAGCTCCATACATTGTCTCAATGTCATGGGGTTGGCCAGAACCATTACAATGCGAAAGCGGTATTGGTAACTGCCAAAACGGTGAAACCTCAGAACAATACGTCGATCGTGTTAACACTGAATTCCAAAAGATCGGTTTACGTGGTATCACTTTATTAGCCGCCTCAGGTGATCAAGGTGCCCCAGGTGACAACAATCCATCATGTAACAACAAAAACAAACCAATTTCAACCATTTTCCCAGGTGCCTCACCATGGGTTACTTCAGTTGGTGCTACTATGTTATCAGCCCCATCATCATCAGCAAGCGGTGACAACAGCGATATCCCAGTTTGCGGTATCCACCACTGTGCCACCTCAACCTCCGAACTCGTCTGTTCATACCCAGCTGCTCTTATTACTACTGGTGGTGGTTTCTCAGACTACAGCCCACGTCCATCATGGCAATCAAGTGTCGTTGAAACCTACTTAAACTCAGGTGTTGCTTTACCAGCTTCAAACTTCTTCAACTCATCAAACAGAGGTTTCCCAGATGTCTCTGCTTTAGGTCACAACTACTACGTCGTTGCTGGTGATCAAATGCAAGTTGTCGATGGTACTTCATGTTCATCACCAGTCTTTGGTGCTATCGTTGCTTTATTAAACAGCTACCGTTTCAACAACAACAAATCACCACTCGGTTTCATTAACCCAGTCCTCTACGCTGCTGCCGCCTCAAACAATAACGCCTTCACTGATATCACCACTGGTGACAATAAATGTACTGAAGCCTGTTGCGCTAAAACTGGTTATTTAGCCACCAAAGGTTGGGATCCAGTTACTGGTTTAGGTACTCCAAACTTCAAAGGTTTATTAGCTTACGTTCAAACCCTCCAATAAACTTTTAAAAAATTTTATTTCACTTTTAAAATTTTATATATAAAAATAGTAATATTAAGTTAAAACTTTAAAATAAAAAATAGTAATAATATTTATAAAAAAATACAATAATTTATAAATTTTAAAAAAAATTTCTTTATTTTTTATTTATTTGTTAATTAATTATTTCTTTTCCATTTCTTATTTTTTTTAATCTAGATTTATTTCTATTATTATAATTTTCTTTATATAATTGATTTTTTCATTTCTCTATTTATCCAATTAACACATAATGTAGTGTTTTTATTTCTTTTAAATTTGTTATTACTTCGAAAAAAATAAATTAAATTAAAATTAAATTTTTGGATTTTTTTTAAAAAAATAAAAAAAAAAATTTTGTTATTATTGACCACAACACACAAAAAGGTAAATTATAAAATTATTTGTTTTTATATAACTATTATTTGTTTCGTTAATTATTTTTTTTGGTATTTACATATTTATATATATAAATAATCAATATTTAAAATTATAATTTTATAAACTTTTATTTTTAAACTTGCATTTTTTAGCTGTTAAAAACGGTTGCAATGACAAAAATAATTTAAATTTTCAAATTTAAAATATTTTTAATTTTTTTAAATTAATTTTTTTTTTTTTTTTTTTTTTTTTGCAAATCATAAGCCAAATTTTTTCTTTTTTTCTTTTCTTTTTTTTAATAATCACACATCACACTATCACACACACGGTAATTTACATACCACTTTCTAATCTTTTTACTTTTATATAATATCTAGATATAATTAATATATCATTATTATATAATAACAAATTATAATTTTAATTATAAACACACACAAAATTACAAACTTTTTTAAATAACAACACTTTAAAAAAAAAAATGGCAATTATTCCAACAGTCGTCGGTAAAATTCAAGTTATTTTTGGCCCAATGTTCAGTGGAAAAGTATGTTTTTATTAAAATTAAGGTTATGTTGTTTCTGTATTAATTTTTTTTTTTTTTAAATTAAAATTAGACAACCGAACTTATTAGAAGAATTAAAAGATTTAACTTTGCTAATAAGAAATGCTTATTAATCAAATATAGCAAAGATACTAGATATAACGATAATATTGATAAATCATTTTTAGTCACCCACGATAAGTAAATATCAATTTTAATGCATATTATGCATTATTTAAAAAATCCGAAAAAAAAACTAATGTTTTTCAAAAAAATTTCTTAAATTTTTTAAACTTTTTTTTTTTTACCTTGCGCGCCATTTTTATTTCACACAAAACAGACAAAACTACCAAGCTTTCCCATGTTCAATTTTAGAAGATATCAGAGAACAAGCTGAAAAATATGACGTCATCGGTATTGATGAAGGACAGTTTGTAAGTCTTAATATATATCCCATTTTTTTATTTATATTTTTATTAATCTTTTAAAATATTTATTGAACTATTAGTTCCCAGATGTCGTTCAATTTAGTGAAGAATTAGCAAACCAAGGCAAAACTGTTATCATTGCAGCTTTAGATGGCACTTTCCAAAGAAAACCTTTTGCATCTGTCATTGATTTAGTCTCCAAAGCCGAAGTTATCACCAAATTGACCGCTGTTTGTATGGTTTGTTATAACGATGCTGCTTTCTCCAAACGTATTGTCGATGATGATAACATCGAGTTGATTGGAGGTATTGATAAATATATATCAGTTTGTAGAGGCTGTTACCATAAAGACACCTCTATGAAAACCTTAAAATCAGTTCGTAATGTTCACGACAAAGCTCTTAGCGGTGCCGTTGTAGCAGCCCATGATCAATTCTACCAAGATGGTCCACAAAATATGGCAGTTGATGATATTCATTTAAACAATGACTACTAAACTGTCAATATTATATTTAATCTACTATCCTTTTGTTTTTCCGCCAACAACCAACCAAAAATCTCATCCCCCAGCTGTGTGTAAACCTTTTGCTTTTTCCTTTTAAAGAAATTGCTCTGTAATTTTAAAACATCATATGTTTAAGTGATATTAATCACTATAGTTTTCGAAAGAATAACCTTTTTGTATAATAGTTTTCCGAACCAACAAACAAATCAAAAAAAAAAAAAAGAAAAAAAATTAAATTAAATTTTATATTTTTCTATTTTTAGTTTTTTGATCAACCGCAATAACAATCAAATAATAATAACAACTACTAACAACAACTCATTCTTTTCAACTAAATTATTTAATATGGTTTTTAAATCATATAATAAAAAACTTTGTAAATATTCTCAAAAAAAATTAAGTTTAGTTTTTACTTAAATTATTGAAAAAATTCTTTTAAAAATTTTAAAGTTTTTTATTTTTATTTATTTTTTATTTATTTTTAATTTTTTTATTTTTTATTTTTTTAAAATTTTAATTTTTTTTTTTTTTAATAATAGTTTATTTTTTTTAACAAGGTGTGTTATAGTGGTTGTTTTAATTAAGTTTGTGTGTGTTTTGGTGTGTTTTCTATTATAATTATACATATTATTTTATTATTTATTATTTTATTAATAAAATTTTATTTTATTATTTTTTATTTTTTTTTAAAATTTTTTAATTAAGTTTTTCCCATTCTCATTAAGTTTTTTTTTTTTTTTTTTTTTTCTTTCATAGTACAGTTTTAGGTGTATGTTATTGTATAATTTATTATTTATATAATATACAATAGTGTGTAAAAGAGAAAGTGTATTATAGTTGTTTTTTTTTTTTTTTTGTTGGCTTTATTATTTAAATAATTTTTTATTTTTTATTTTAAATTGTTTGTTTAATATTAAACGAACAAGATAATTAAAACAGTCGATTTATAATATAATAAATAATAAAAAAACAAAGAAAAAGTGTAAAGAGACAATTAATAATAATAATTTAAATATGCAGGACGAACAGTTCGAATTTTTAGAATGGTAGGTTTTTAAATTAGAGTTATAGTATACAAAAAACATCTTTACTAATAATATTAATTATATATATATAATTTAGCTCTATTTGCAGCGAAGAGATTGTTGAATATGGTTCACCTTTTTCATCGCAATTTAAAAAGGGTGAAAAGCCTTGTAGTAAGTATAGATAAAATAATTGTGTTTGGATAATTAAGTCAAATTATATTAATGCATACATTTTTTAATTTTTAGAGCACAGTTTTTGTTCAGGATGTATAAAAAGATTAATGGAGTTTTCAGATGAAAAAAAGAATAAATATTTGTGTCCAATTTGCAGAGAAGAGTTTGATGGATTTATTCAGTGTAAAACATCTAATGATCTATACACACATGCAAGATCATTAAAAAGAGAGCAAAAGATTTTAGAGGTAATTGTTTATAAATTTATTAAAAAAAAGAAAATAAAGAAAAAAAAACTTATATTAATATTTACTGTAATATTTTAGGGTGAAAATATAAAATTAAATGAATCATTAAATCAAGCTAAAAATGAAAATTTAAATGAAATAGAAGACAATAGGAGAAGGATACAGGAGTTAGAGGATTTTAAAAATAAACATTTGAAAGAAATAGATATAGCAAAAAGTAAAATAAAAGATTTAGAAACTGAAATACAAAAAAAAGAACAGGATAGGATTCGAGATTTAGAGAGTAATTTATTAAAGTTTGATGGTCAACAGCAGCAAATACTTTCAATGACACAAAATAATAGAGATCTATCAGAAGCAAATCAACAGTACTTTTCAAAAAATACCGAGCTAAACAATCAAATCAATTCATTATTTGCAAAGCTCCAGGAATCCAAGCAATCAATTCAAAATAGAGATAATCAAATTGAAAAGATTGAATTTGAAAAAAGAGAAATTCTAAAAAAGTTGGAAGGTATTGAACAGTTTACCCAGCACAAATTTAATGAGCATAATTCAATTTTACGTTCAAAAGATAATGAAATTTCTGGTTTGGTAGATAATAATAGAGCATTAAAACAAAAATTAGTAGAGTCCCAAGCAAGATGCGAAGATTATAGAAAGAATTATGAAATTCTTAAAGATGATTCAAGTAATGGCTTTAAGAAAAATAAGGATTTGGAAGGTATAATTTCATCACTTCGTATAGAACTAAGTAGATCACAATCTGTAATTGACATGTTAAATCAACAAAAGAAGGCACACGAAAAATCTTTGGAAGATGCCAAGTTATATCAGACCAGCAGAGGCAATTCATTTGCAATTACCACACCAGCTATTATAAACACAACAGCAAATAAAATTTCAAATGGTCTAGGTTATTTTATTGGTTCGAAACAAAACTTCAATGATATTACCAAGCCATATAAAAGTAAGTTATACGACCAAAAGTTTATATTATATTATTTATATCATATATTAACTATTTTAAAAAATTAGGTTTTAAAATTGAGGAAAAAAGAGGATCAAATAAAAACACTCAGGTTTTTAAAGTTTCAACATCCTCTGGCAATAATTTTGTTATAAAATTAATACCGATGAATTATCCAAAATCTGGTTCTGGTTACACAGCAGCAATATCATCGCTTTATAATTATTACACATCAACTATAACAGAGGAAGATTTATCAGCATTCAGAGAGCCAATGATATTATACACTTTAAATCATAGCAATATATTAAAACTAGAATCAATTACGAGAGATGATGGTGGCAAATACTTTTCAGTACTTTCACCATTCGTTCAAAATGATTTGGAGTACGTTCTACTTTCAAACCAAACCAACAACAATAAAATTTCACCCACAACTCTCACATTTGCAAATATGAAATATATTTTGTATCAATTAATATCAGCTGTTTATTATTTACATAGTAGGGATTTAGTACACAGGGATATTAAACCAACAAGTATTTTGTTATTAAATGATAATCAACTTAAATTATGTAGCTTTGGTTTGGCTGCATCAACTTTTTCAAATTCCAGTTCAATTTCATTTCCAAATTACCCTCCATCTTCATATGGCTATCTTTCTCCAGAGTTCATTTGTAGTGTTCTCATGCTTGAGAAAGAAAAGTTATCTTTTTCATCACCATCATCATCTTCAGATATCGATTGGAAAGCTTTCGACATGTGGTCAATTGGCTGTATCTTTTTAGAGATGCTATTTAAAAACAATTTATTCAAAATCGATACCAGTGCTCTTAACAATACCGAGGCTATTATGGGATCACTTCAAGGTTTATCATTATCAAAAACTACTCTTAGTAGCATATTAAATAATATTTCCAAGTTTAAAGAGTCATCACCAAAACCAAACAGCTCAATTATTAAAGATAAACCATTTTTAACAAATATAATAGGTAAACCAGAAAAAGATTTTCAATCATTATTTAAAGAGTATATTAAAAAGAATAACATCAATGGTTCATCAATTCAAGAAAACTCTTTGGATGAACATACCTCTATGTCTAATGAAGCATACAGCCTTTTATGTTCCCTTTTATCATTTAATCCCCAAACTAGAATTAAATCACAACATGCTGTTTTCCACCCATTCTTTTCAAATGAACCTTATTATATTCCAGAATCAAATTCAGTTTTACCAAATGTGTTGGAGGATATTTCTTCATCTCTTACTGACAGAAATATTAGTGGATTTATTAAAGAAAAATGTTCAAATTTAATTCAAATATAAAAAAAAAAAAAAAATATAAATAATTTTCCTTTTTGGATTTTTTTTTTTTTACTACAACTTTTTTTTCTTAATCCATAGGGTAATAAACAAAATAAAATATTGAATCTATTTAATTCAAATGTATTTTTTTAAATTTTAATTAATACAAACTAAATAATATTATGTTTTTTTTAAATTTATATTTTTATTTTTATTTTTTATGGGAGGAAAATTTACACATTTAAAAAGTGAAATAGCTTATTTGGTTTTTTTTCTAAAGAATTCAAAGTTTTTTAATTGTTGAATGTAAATTGTGTTTATAATTGATTCAATTGAAAATGAATTTACTTGCTCTAAACTAATTGAATCCTTTAATATTTCATTGTCTATTGATTCTTTAAAGTGTTGTATTTTGTTGGACGAACAGGAGAGTTTGAAATTTTCATTTAGAGTTTGGTTATAGTTTTCGATATTGCAAGTATTGAAAATTTTTTTAATTATATCTATAATTTCGTTTTTGGTATTTGATGAGCAATAGATTTCATTAAAATAAAAACCCATTTTATTTTTTTTAACTCTACTAACACATTCTATTTGGTCGATGTTATATACATTGTGGTTAAGTTGGTTTGGTGATGACACAACTTGGTCCGAGATAGGGGTTAGGTTTTGATTATATACGAATAGGGACACTTTGTTACAAGATCTTCTATAGCTCGAAATCGATTCTAAAATTGAGTTAAGAGAGTTAGAGTTCATGCTGCAACTGCCTTCAAAACTTTCAATTATAAAGTTATTAAAGCTGATTTTATTATCTATCGAGAGGTTATTTAGTTTAATTAAAAGTTTAACATCTTGAATTGATTGCTCTAGTGTATGATTTTCATTTTGGGTAAATATAAAAGTTAAGTTGTTGTAGTTTGAAAATTGATTTAAAAATTCCTCTTCTTTAAAGTCATTGAAGTTTAATGGGTACTTTTCTATATTACTTTGGTTTGCAATTTTCTCAGGAACATCACCAATGAATAAATAGACTTGATTAAGAATGCTTTCATTTGATTGTTGTATTGCTAGTTGTTCTTTTTTATATTTTTCATTGCAGATTTGATTCTCCCTAATTATTAATTGATTGCAGTGTAAATATTTAAAGCAGTTTAATAGTGGTGATTTTGTATTGAGAGATTCTAAATCAAAATCAAAATTGTATAACTTAAGGAAACAGTTTGAATTTAACCAAAAACCCATTAGACCAATGATGGATGAGTTTAGATATTTGTTTGATTCTTTAGCTGATAAAGTTGAAACTATAATATGCTTGGTATTTAAATGGTTATTATTAATTAAATATTGATTAATATAGTTATAATCATCCGAATTCTTTATAATTTCTTCAATTATTAATTCTTCAATCGTTGGAATGTAGAATATTGTAGAGTTGTCATTTATTTTAACTTCTTTAAATTGACTGGTGTTTGTTATATTTAAAATTTCATGGTGTTTGGTTTGCATAATTAGGTTGAAAAATTGATTTTTTAAATCAGTGTTTAATTCACCATAAACAATTATTTGATTAAATTCCATTTCTTCATTGTTATCTACCTTCTTTGATTGGATTATATAGGGCAGAGACTCTAGGTCATTTGTTTTTACCATATCTTTAAAATTGTACTTTTCTAATAAATTTATCCAGTTCTTTTGGGGGGGAATACATCTATCAATACGATAGTCTCCAGAGCAATCCCACCAGAAATCGAATGCTCCATATACTGAGTCTAATACTACTGAACGATAAGGAGATTCATATAAGATAAAGTGACCATTTCCCTTTAATATTAAATGTACTTGTTTTATAGAATACTCGGCATCTTTTAAAAAGTGCAAAACGTTTTCTACTACCACAATATCATAATAGTTATGATTTATACCCTGTGATTCTAAAGATTTTTGAATATTGAGATTTCTAAATACCATCTTACAATTTTCATTGTCGAAGTTTTTAAATTCTTTTTTTGCATTTTCTATAAGAATTGGGTTTACATCGCTGTAGGTGTATTCAATTTCTAATAAAATGTTGCTGTTTTCATTTGAGCTTTTGTATTTTTCCAATAGATTCATAATTTCGTTACAAATAACCTTTGAAGTTGTTCCAGTGCCGCCACCAAACTCTATAATTCTTAATACTTGTTTCTTAAATAACAGAGGTTCAATACATTTCTTTACTGATTGGCCAATTAGAGATACCATTTGTAAATATTTGGGGGAGTTTGAGTAAAAATCTTCCATATATTCATCATCAAAAAGATCCTCCGGTATTTCTTTAGTTTGGTCATCATCTTCTTTAGGGAAAAGCTTTTTTGATAATATTTTACTTGATTTTTCAAATAATGATATGAATGGGACGTCTAATATTTTTTCTACATTATCGAAATAGTATGGCTTTGTTCTTTTGATTGTTTCAAACATAAATTCAAAAGTGAGGTTTAAAGTATTATTGTTTAATTGATTTTCATTTAACAACAGGTTCTTTAGTTTTGGAATATCATTATTTTCTATAAGGTTATCTGTAATAGCTTGATTTCTTTTGTTTAATGACTGAAACAGTAAAAAAGATATTGCATTTTCATAACTCTTTAAAGTTTGGTCACTGTATGGAGGCAATTCATATTTGCTAAAAATTTCTTTTAATAAAACTGGTGATTCTAAAACAGATACATTATTTTCATAATAGTTTGTAAAAATTTTCATTATTTCTTTTTCTTTTTTTTTTTTTGTAAAAAAAAATTAAATTAATTATTTATATATTATTATTATCTATCTATAATAAAAATAATTTTTAATTACCTCTTTGAAGCTATTTTTTTTTAAATAATTTGACAACCAAAAAAAAAAAATTTATTCTGTTTATATTTGTTTTATATTACAATATTAAAATTTAGCGTTTATCTTTTTTTTTAATATTTTTTTTTTTAATATATTATTAGAAATATTAAATATACAAGGATTATGGAGTAGATTTAAAATATTAATTATTTTTTTTTAATACTTTTATCTTTGTGTGTCTATGTGTGGGAGGGGTCTATGTTTATTATTTTTTTTCTATTGAAAATATATTAGGAAAATAAAAATGTGTGTAATTGTTATTCTTTATAAAGCTGTTATATTTATATTTCTTTTTTGAGGTAAGTTAATATAAATGAAAAAAAAAAAAAAAAAAAAAAAAAAAAAAAAAAAAAATTTTGAAAAAATTAACAATATTAAAAATAATAATATTCCAAATATATAGATCCAAAAAAATAACAAATGAAGAGGTGAGAAAAGATAGAGTTAATTTACAAATTAACCCCCAATTTTTTATATTTTTTCAAATGAAAAAAAATTTTAACCTCTTTATAAAAAAAAATACAGCTAAATTACAAAATTAACCCCCAACTTTTTTTTTATAATTTTTTTTTATTTGAAAGAAAATTATAAATTTTAACCTCTTTATTAAAAAAGATAAAAATAAAAATTGATTATTCAAATTATTTATTTAAAAATATATACATAAATTTTTTTTATTTTTTTTTTTAATCAGATGGGTGACGCTTCTGGGGCGAGTTATTATATCTATTACTATGTGATGGAGGTGGACCATCAGATGGATGCCACTGTTGTTGGTTTCTTTGATGATAATTTCTATTATTATTGTTATGTTGTTGTTGTTGTTGTTGTTCATTATCAGAAGGGTGCCATTGCTTTGGATGGTTTCTATTGTTGTTATATCTGTTTCTATTGTTGTTATTGTTTTGTTGTTCATTTGGGTTGTCAGAGGGGTGCCATTGTTTTTGGTAGTTCCTTTTATTTTGTTGCTGTTCATTTGGGTCACCAATTGGGGGGTTATCGGAAGGGTGACGATTGTAATTGTTATTATTGTTGTTGTTGCTGTTATTGTTATTTCTAAATCTATTATTTCTTTGACCACCATGGTGATTTTCACGGTGAAAAGATGGGAAATTATCTATTAATGGTGGTAATGAAACTGAATCTTGTTTAATATATCTATCATCTTCTTCGCTATATAGTTCTATTTCTTTTTTTGGTTTTGATTTATCAAATTGGATTAAATATTTAGTTGTTTCCAAAGGTTCTGTTTTATTTATTATATTACTATTACTCGAATTTAATCCACTACTTTCATTATTTTCGCTACTTTCATTATTTTCGCTACTTTCATTATTTTCAATACTTTCATTATTTTCAATACTTTCATTATTTTCATTGTTATTAGTATTATCGCTAGTATATTCTTCGTTTGATTCATTCTCGTTATCGCTGCTATTTGAGTTATAATTCTTATATTGCAAACTATTATTTAATTGGTGATTCTCTTGTGATTCATATCTTTTTAATGGTGGCTGTTGTTGTTGTTGTTGTTCTTCATCCTCATCATAATCGTCATATTTCCTTTTATATATTTCATTTTCCATTTTTTTTTTTTAAAAATAATTGAAAAATAAAATTTATTTTTAAAAAAAATGAAAATAATAAAAAAATAATTTTAAAAAAAAATAAAAAAATAATTTTAAATTTTAATTTTTGTTTTGTTTTTAAAATTTTTTTTTTAATTCGAAATATCACACTCATATTATTTTTTTTATCGTTTGTATAAATATTAAATATTTAAAAAATAAAATGAGCGAAAGAAATACTGTTTATATTGGATCAAGAAAATCACAATTAGCTATGCTCCAAACAGAATGGGTTAGAGATAGATTACAAGAATTAAATCCAAATATCAAGGTTGAAATTAAAACTATGGATACTACAGGTGATAAGGTTTTAGATGTTTCACTTTCAAAAATTGGTGATAAAGGTTTATTCACAAAGGAATTAGAAGATATGATGTTAAATGGTTCAGTCGATTTAGCTGTTCATTCATTAAAAGATATACCAACAAGGTAATAATCAAAAAAAAAAAAAAAAAAAAAAAATTAAAATCAAATATATAACCAATAATTAAATATAATTTTGTTTTAATTATTTATTGAATAGTTGGAAAAAAAATTGGATAATAAAATTAGATAGTAATATTGATTTTTTTTATACTTTATAGATTACCAGATGGTTTAAAATTAGGTGCAATTACAAAAAGATATAGTACATCAGATGCATTTATTGCAAATGTTAAAAAACATGGTAAGGATTGTAAATTATCAGATTTACCAAATGGTGCATTAATTGGATCATCATCATTAAGAAGAGTTGCACAATTAAAGAAATCATATCCACATTTACAATTTAAAGATATTAGAGGCAATTTAAATACCAGATTCAATAAATTAGATGCAGTTGACAGCGAATATGATGGTATGATTTTAGCAGTTGCAGGATTGGAAAGAATGAACTTAACTGATCGTATCTCACAAGTTATTCCAGATGAAATTTCACTTTATGCAGTTGGTCAAGGAGCTTTAGGTATTGAATGTAAAGAAAATGACCCATTCATCGAAAAAATTTTAGAACCATTAAATCACAGCGAATCAATGATGCGTTGCAAAGCTGAGCGTAGTATGCTTAGAGAATTAGAAGGTGGCTGCCATGTACCAATTGGTGTTGTCACTAAAATTAATCAAAACAATATCCTCGAAATTAAAGGTATTGTTTTAAATTTAGATGGTTCAAAATATATAGAATCATATATTGAAGGTCCAGTAGAACAATATGAACAATTAGGTAAAGATATTGCCGCTGATTTAATTAAAAAAGGTTCAAAAGAAATTTTATCAGAATTACCAAAAAAAAATTAATAAAATAAAAAATTATTAATAAATACTATTAAAAATTATAAAAACTATTTATTTTTTAAATATATAAATTATTTATTTATTTATTTTGTTTATTTTAATTTTAATTTATCTTATTTTTTGACAAATGGTAAACGATCATAAGCTAAAATTGATGATAACCATTTTTCAGCTTCTTCAACTGGAATTTGCTTTCTTTTAGAATAGTCTTCGATTTGTTCTTTTGTAATTTTGCCAACAGAGAAATATTTAGCATGTTCGTGTGAGAAATAGATACCACTAACGGCAGCACCTGGGACCATAGCCATATGATCAGTAAGCTCGATATCAGTTTGATTTTTAACATCCATTAATGACCAAATTGCTTTCATTTCAGTATGATCTGGTTGAGCTGGATAACCTGGAGCTGGACGAATACCTTTATATTTTACTTTGAAGAGGTCTTCACTTGAAAGATTTTCATCTTTTTCGTAACCCCAATGAATCTTACGGACATCTTCGTGGAGGGCTTCAGCAAGAGCTTCAGCGAGACGATCAGCTAAGGCTTTTGCCATAATACTAGAGTAATCATCATTTTCGTTCTTGTATTTTTCTACCATTTCATCTAAACCGAAACCGGCACTAACTGCGAATAAACCAATATAATCTTTAACACCGCTTGAAACTGGTGCAATATAGTCACCATATGAAAGGTATGGTTCTTCAGTTTCTTTTTCGCTTTGTTGACGAAGACCATGGAGTGTGGCACCAACTGTAGTTCTAGTATCATCGGTATAAAGAAGAATATCTTCATTTTCACTGTTTGCTGGATAGAAACCAATAACACCACGAGCGTTTAATAATTTCTTTTCGACAATTTCTTTAAGCATAGCTTGAGCATCATCAAAGAGTTTCTTAGCTTCAGCACCTACAGTTTCATCTTTGAAAATACGTGGATAACCACGATTTGGGTATTTACCACGAAGTTGCCATGTAACAAAGAATGGGTTCCAATCGATTTTTGTGCATAACTTTTCTAATGAATATTCTTTGAATACTTGTTTACCAATAAAAGATGGTTTAACTGGTGTAATTGCAGACCAATTGATCTTTGGACGATGTTGACGAGCTTTTTCTAATGAGGTGTATTTTCTATCTTTGAGTGAAGCATAATGTTTTTCACGTAATTCGCTATATTGTTGTTCGATATCTTCTGCAAATATTTCTTTATTTTTTGGATCTAAAAGACTTGATACGACAGTGACACTACGTGAGGCATCTAAAACATGAACAGTTGGTTGTGTATAATGTGGTGAAATTTTAACAGCTGTGTGAATTTGTGAAGTAGTTGCACCACCAATCATAAGTGGAATCTTGAATTTCTGTCTTTCGAGTTCTGATGCTACGAAAATCATTTCATCTAATGATGGAGTGATAAGACCTGATAAACCAACAACATCTGCTTTATTTTGAATGATAGCTTCAATGATTTTTTCGCATGGGGTCATTACACCGCAATCAATAACTTTATAATTGTTACAACCTAATACAACACCTACAATATTCTTACCAATATCGTGTACATCACCTTTAACTGTAGCTAAAACAACAACACCAGCATTTTCTGGTTCTTCAGCTGTTGAGCCAGTTTCTAAACGTTTTCTGCTCTTTTCTTCTTCCATGAATGGGATGAGATGGGCTACAGCTTTTTTCATAACACGAGCACTTTTAATAACTTGTGGAAGAAACATTTTACCGGCACCAAAAAGATCACCAACAACATTCATACCACCCATTAATGGACCTTCAATAACTGATAATGATGATGGAAGAGTAAGACGAGCTTCTTCGGTATCTTCGATAATATAAGTTGTAATACCTTTAACGAGAGCATGAGCGATTCTATCAGTGACTGATTTATTTCTCCACTCTTCGACTTCAACAGCAGCTTTTTCAGTTTTACTATTCTTTTGAGCATATTCTAAAAGTTTTTCGGTGGCATCATTTGTACGATTTAAAATTGCATCTTCGACTAATATTAAGAGATCTTTTGGAATATCATCATAGATTGGAAGTGCACCAGCATTAACAATACCCATATCCATACCGGCTTTAATTGCATGATAAAGAAAAGCAGAATGCATAGCTTCACGAAGTGGTTCGTTACCTCTGAAAGAGAATGAAAGATTTGAAACACCACCACTAACACGGGTCAATGGCATAATTCTTTTAATTTCACGAGTAGCTTCAATAAACTCAATACCATAGTTGTTATGTTCTTCAAGACCAGTTGCAATAGTAAGAATATTTGGATCGAAAATAATATCTTGTGGGTAGAATCCAACTTGTTCTGTTAAGATTTTGTATGATCTATAACAAATACGAACTTTTTCTTCTTTTGAGGTAGCTTGACCATTCTCATCAAAAGCCATAACGACAACTGAGGCACCATATTGTTTTACAATTCTTGCTTGTTCAATGAATAGTTCTTCACCAACTTTAAGTGAAATTGAATTTACAATACATTTACCTTGAACACATTTAAGACCAGCTTCAACAACTGCAAAGTTACTTGAATCTAACATAATTGGTACTTTTGAAATTTCTGGTTCGGAACCAATAAAGAAGAGGAATTTAGTGATAGCTGAAACTGCATCAATCATACCTTCATCCATATTAATATCAATAATTTGGGCACCAGCTTCTACTTGTTGACGGGCAACTGATAAAGCTTCTTCATATTTATTTGCTTTAATAAGATTTGCGAAACGACGTGAACCACTAACATTACAACGTTCACCAACATTGACAAAGTTTAACTCTGGAGTGAAAATTAATGGTTCTAAACCTGAAACAGTGGTAAGTTGTGGGAGTTGTGGAATTTCACGTGGTGGAACACCTTTAATAGCTTCACAGAAAGCACGAATATGATCTGGTGAGGTACCACAGCAACCACCAACAATATTTAAGAGACCAGAAACAGCAAATTCTTTAATTTGTTCAGCCATCATTTCTGGTGTTTCATCGTAACCACCAAAAGTATTTGGTAAACCAGCATTTGGATAACATGAAACATAACATTCTGAAACCTTGCTAATATTTTGAAGGAATGGTCTCATTTCTTGGGCACCTAAAGCACAATTTAAACCAAATACCATAAGATTGGCACTTGCAACACTTGTATAGAAAGCTTCACCAGTTTGACCGGATAAAGTTCTACCACTTTTATCTACAATAGTACCTGAAACGAAAACTGGGAGACGTGGGATATCGTTTTTATTAAAGAACTCTTCAATTGCAAAAAGACCTGCTTTGGCATTGAGTGAATCGAAAACGGTTTCGACTAATAAAATATCAACACCACCTTCAACTAATGCTTCGATTTGTTCTAAATAACCAGCAACTAATTCATCAAAAGTAACATTTCTAGCTTCTGGTCTTTCTACTGATGGTGAAATGGATGCAGTTTTATTTGTTGGACCAATAGCACCACAAACAAATCTTGGTCTACTTGGATCTTTTTTTGTATATTCTTCACATGCACTTTTGGCTAATTTTGATGCTTCAATGTTAATTCTTTTAACCAAATGTTCCATTTTATAATCTGCTTGTGAAAAAATATTGCCATTAAATGTATTGGTTTCAATAAAATCTGCACCTGCTTCTAAATATTTCTATTAGGTTTTAAAAAATAATTAGTTTTTGTAGGGTCAATAATAATAATAAATAATATAATATAACATACACAGTGAATTTCTCTAATAATTTCTGGTTGAGTTAAAACTAAAAGATCATTGTTACCACCTAATTCATGTGGAAAATCCTTGAATTCTTCACCTCTATAGTGGTGATCTTTTAATTTAAACTTTTGAATTTCGGTACCCATGGCACCATCAAGTACCATAATTCTTTCATTTAAAATTTTACGGATAATTTCGAAAGTTTCTATATATAAAAAAAAAAGATTTTACATTTATTAATTATTTATGATTTAATAAAATAATAAGTTTCTTTATAACTATTAAATTTTTTATTTATAATTTGATAATTTTATTTTTTTTTGTATTATTATTTGTTTATGTGATGTTTTTATTTATTATATTTATATAAATATATTTTATTTTGCGGTGATATAAAACTAAATCTAGAAATAAATAATATTTGTTTATTTTTTATCTTGGTTTTTTTTATTTGCTTGGGGTTTTAATTGTTTATCTTTTGTTTTTATATTTAAATTTTAAACCATTTCAATTGTGTTTAAACAACAAAATTGTTATTTTATACTTTAATGTAGTGTGTTTATAAAAAATTACCACAATGTTAAAAAAAAATAAAAAAATATTTTTTAATTACCTGATTCTTTTTGTTTAGCCATTCTTTCTTCTTTTAATGTAAAAATTTATTAATAAAATCAGTCTCTTGTGTAAAATGTGTGTGTATTTGCAAAGTAAATATATTGTGTTGTTGTATAACTCTATATGTAAAAAAGGGTTAGTGTTTTTTATACATAATAAAAAATCTATTTAAAATGGGGTAATTACCAATAAAAAATAACCCAAAATATTTATTCTTCAAAGGATCCTGATCTTATGAGAAATGAAATATAAAGATTAGAGGTTGCAATTGAAATTTTTTTTTAACAAAGGAACAACCAAGATATTTATAGTTTATTTATTTGTAATTAATATGACAAAATAAATATATAAATTTATAAATATATATGTTAGAAATAACAACACAATTTAATTTTAAAAAAAGATAAAAAAAAAAAAAAGGCGATTCGTCTCTATGAAAAAAAAAAATAAAAAAAAATTAAAAAAAATTAAAAAAAATGAAAATAAAAAAATTTATTTTATTTTTGAAAAAAATTTGAAAAAGGACATAAAACTTTATTTATAGGCAGATACATGGATAAAATTTAATAAAAAAATCTGAGTTGGTAATGACTCATTATATGGTTAATATTTATCCTTATAATACTCATTTTACACTAACACAAAATTTTATTAAAGCATAGAGAAAAAAACCATTGTGTTTTTCTTTTTTTTTTTTTTAATTTAAAAAATATATATTATAATCTTTTTAAAATCTTTTTTTTAATAATAATATTTATATTTTTTATATATATTTTTAAATCTATCTAAATTCTTTTAATATTTCTTTTTGTTTTTATTTAATTAATTAAATCATTTACAAATTTTAAATTAATGTAAATCATATAAAGCAAAAATCGAAAGAGGAAAATATAAAAATAAAAAATAATTCTAGTATGGTCTGGGTTATATGGGTATGTGTGCACCACACTTTAAAATTCGGTATGTATATGGGTTTAAATAATGTTTACACTTTTATATAATTAATTAAATCAAAAGATCAATACTTAAAACTATCTACAAAAATTGTAATCTTGTTTATTAAATTTAAATAAATATTATATTTAATAAACAAAATTTTATTTTATATAGTAATTACTATATAGCTTTTATAATTTAGTTTGTTTATAGTAATAACATAAAATATATATATTTTTATAAAAACCATAATTGTTTTAAAATAAAATAAATTTATAATAAAATTATTCAAAATCAAAAAACACAAAAATATTCACCCACATTTAATTAAACAATCAAATATTTTATTTTGATATATAATATCCATGTGCTATTTTAAAATACATTTTAAAAAACATTTTAAAAACAGTTTCTCACAAAAAAAAAAAAAATAAAAAAAAAAAGAAAAAAATAGACAAACACACAAAAACACACCAAAATTAATATCTATTAATTTTTTTTTATTGTTAAATTAAATAAAAAATCTTACTACAATTGGTAGTAAAAAATTATACTTTTATATATAAAGTATTTAATATGATATCATATTCTTTAAGAATATTATACAATCCAAAATAAAACAATATTACTTTTTTTTTTTTTTTTCAATTATAATAATCAACACTATTATTATTTTAATACTTTTAAAGACACACACATGTACACACATACATAAATCACACACACACAACACACACAACATTATAAATGGATTAGGAGATCAGATTTAAAGTATTTATATGTACTTTTATATAATTATTGTGATTATCTTTTACAAATAAAATTAGAACATCACAATAATATCTATATTTTAGTACTGGGAATATATGTTTAAAAAAAAAAAAAAAAACCACATTTTTTGTGTATATGCATATAGTATGTATTTGTGTGTTTCCTCTATTTTTAAATATAGTATTCGAACGAAAATATTAATCCATGAAATAAAACAATATTAAAAATATTAAAAACAAAACTATTTAATACAATAAAGGACACCTGTTTCTCCTCCTACAATTATAGTTAACATTATACTCTCCCACATCCACTTTTTATATAACACCTTAAAATATTAAATTATTATTTTAGTTTAGATTGATTATCCCACCTTTTTTTCAAATTAAATTCACCTTATTAAATTAATTCAATTTTCATAATAATTTAAATATAATAATTTATTTTATTTTTTTATTTTTTTTTGATATTTTTGGGGAACTAAAAAATGATATAAAAAGAAAACAAATATTTTTTTTTATATGATAAGTTTTATCAATCAAATCAAATAATAAAAATTTGTATAATAAATAAATAATAATAATAATAATAGTAATAATAATATAACTTAAATATTTTTTAAAATCAAATCAAAACAATATTTAATTTTATTTTATTATTTTATATTATTTTTTTTTTTTTTGTATAATTACTTTTTTTCACAAATTTGATTTTTTATTTTTTTTAATTATTATTTAAATACTACTTTTATTACAATAATAAAATTAATAATAAATTAATAATATAATAAAATAATTTTTTACTTGTGTTTTTAAAATATTGTGTTATAAAATTAAAATATAATAGTTTTTTTTTTTGTGTTTAAACAAACTTTTTAAAATAATTATTTTTAACATAATTATAATATTTTTGTGTAATAGTAATAAAATAAAATTTAATAGAAATAATAATATCTATTAAATTAATAATAGTTGTATAACAATTCCTAAATAGATATTTATTTAAAAAACTATTTAAAAAAAAATGAAATTATTTAATAATAAAAAGCTTTGGGTTATTTTATTAATTTTAATTGTACTTTTAATTAATGTTAGCACATCATATGCTCAAGAAGATGGATCAATGACAAATAGTGAAGGTTCTCTTGACAATATGGGCGATTCTGAAAATCCGCCACCTTCCGAATCAGAACAACAAATTTCAGAAGAAGAGGAAGAACAACCAAGCTCTGGTGATCCGCAAACCTCATCAACTATTCAAGAAAGTGAGGAGCAACCAGCTGAGTCAACCACCGAAGAACAACCAGCTGAATCAACTACATCTGAAGAACCAGCTGAATCAACCACCGAAGAACAACCCGCTGAATCAACAACATCTGAAGAACAACCAGCTGAATCAACAACATCTGAAGAACAACCAGCTGAGTCAACTGAATCTGAAGAACAACCAGCTGAATCAACCACCGAAGAACAACCAGCTGAATCAACTACATCTGAAGAGCAACCAGCTGAATCAACTGAATCAGAGGAACAACCATCTGAATCAACCACCGAAGAACAATCAGCTGAATCAACTACATCTGATGAGCAACCATCTGAATCAACCACCGAAGAACAATCAACTGAATCAACAACTACATCTGAAGAACCAGCTGAATCAACTGAATCAGAAGAGCAACCTTCAGAATCAACAAATGAAGAGCCAGTAAGTGAAGAGTCAACAGGCGAGGAATCAACAACATCTGAAGAACAAACAAGTGAAGAACAATCCACTGAATCGGCTACATCTGAAGAGCAAACAGACGAACCAACTACCTCGGAAGAACCAGCATCTGAAGCCACCTCGGAAGAATCAGCAGAATCAACCACATCTGAAGCACCAGAAGAATCTACAGAATCAGAAGAAACAGTTGAAGCATCTGAAGAACCAGCAGACGAATCAGCAAATGAAGCATCAGAAGCATCAGAAAAAGCAGAAAGCAATGAAGAGACATCTGAAGGTGAAACTGAAGAATCTGAAGAAAATGGAGAGGAATCAGAAACCGGTGAAGGTAGCGAAGAATCTGAAGAAAATGAAGAGGAATCAGAAACTGAAGAGGATGACACACCAATTAGAACAAGAAAATCACCTGCATTTTCATCTTCAGCAGAACCAGGTACCCAACCACTCCCAAGAATTGAAGATGATTCAAGTAGTTTACCAAATAAACAAAATAAGCTACACTCAAGTACTGATGAAGAAAGCAGCTCAAACAGCGGATCAAACTCATTATCCAAAGGTATCTCAACACTCTTAGCTTTTTCAGGTTCATTAATAATATATATTTTAGTTTTGTAAATTTTAATTGTTAATATATTTATAAATTATATATTTATTTAAATAATTTAAAAAAAATAAAAGAGAAATAAAATTAAAATAATTAATTTATTTTATATAACAAATATAATTTTTATTTTTTATTATTATTTTTTAGTTACACCAACACCATAATGGTTAGGATTGATTTTAATTAATCCATTATCAACTAAATCGAATGCATCGTTTTTAAATAGCTGGGTTTCGTCATCTATTAATAAACCACCATCAAGGTCACCACCAAAATCTGAAAGTGAGCAAAGTAAATGAGCAGCAGCTGACACATCTAGACTTGAGGCTACCATTGAGCCTATCCAAGTTTTTAATCCCATTTCTTTAGCTTTTAATAGTGTTGAAATTGCATATCTGATACCTCCTGTTTTTTCTAATTTAATATTGACACCATGTACTAATTGAACTAATGAGTCTAAATCTTTTTCGGTGCAAATAGATTCATCTGCAAAAATTAAAAAACCTTTATCTTGATATTCCTTTTTAATTGAAACCCATTCATTTAACTCTGATTCTAACGGGGCAGCACCTGATGTAGATTTTAATGTTTCAATTGGAAATGGTTGCTCTACCATGGAGATGATATCAGCCATTGGCTCAAGCTTTTCTAAATATAATCTGGCAACTTGAGGTGTCCATGAGCTATTGGCATCGACAGAGATCTTTGCAATTGGTTTATTGTGTTTCTTTAAATAATCTTTAACATGGTTAATGATATTCATCCCTTTTTCTACATCCTGATCCAATTTAATTTTTAAGAAACTGGTGTATTTTGAACCAAAATCGGTTGAATCTAATATTTCTTCCATAGTTGGGCACATTGATACGGTATAGTAGAATGGCTTAGGTTCTGAGGCCACTAAATTAGCCATTTTGTAAATTGGGAGTTTTAAAGTTTTTCCCCAACCATCTAATAATGCCATTTCAATTGCACATCTTGAAGCATATGAATAGTCTTTTGTATTTTCGCTGCATTCATCTAAACATTCGAATAAAAATTGATAGGCCTGGTCAACAACTGAATATGTGGTGTTTTTATCTCTAAGTTTTTCAAAGTATTCCTTTGGTAATTTTTTGAATGAGTCATAAAAGAAATCCTGATCTTGTTTTAAACTCTTTTGCTTTTCGTCCACTTCTTTAATCCATTGATTATAATAATTTTCAATATTATTGAAGTCTGCTAAATAACATAATGGTTTTTTTGGTGGTAAACCACATTCCCCATAACCGTCAACACCATCAACTGAAATATTTATTAAAACATTATTTCTTTTGGTTGTAACTGAATGTGCAGTTCTTTATAATTATAAAATTTAAAAATATAAAATTAGTATTTATTTTTAAAGTAATAATATTATCATCTAAAATATAATAATTACCCAAATGGATTTCTTAGATTTAATTTATATGGATTAATCGATAATTGAACTTTAATTTGGTTTTTAAATAAAAAATTTAACATTTTATTGATATGAAATTTAATTTTATAATTTTAAAAAAAATCTGAAAAAAAAAAAAAATTTTAAAGTTTGAGGTAAAAAAAAATAAAAAATTATAAAAAAAAATAAATTTAAATAAATAATATTTTTTATTAGGTTTTAATTGGTTTTACAAATAATTATCTGAGTTTATTTATTGAATAGTTTTAAATTTTAAAATTATTTTACTTTTTTTTTATTTACATAATCAAACAGGAATCGCCTAATGGTGGTGGTGGTTGATCTTGATCCGATTGTTCTGATGTTGATGGTTTATCAGCTTCCTTTTCTTTTATTTGTTGTGGTGGCTGGGTTAAATCTTTTTTTTGATCTTTTTTTTCATAAACCTCACCACTTTTTTTGAAAACATTGGTGACACTATTACTATTATCTATTATTTTCTTAATTGGTTCTAATTTTTTTAAAATAGAGGATCCATATGAATAATCATCCGAGTTTGATTTTTTTAAAGGGCTTGATTGAGGGGTGGTATTGCTATTATTATTGTTACTGCTGTTATTATTGTTATTTTTATCTATATTTTTTGTTGGTGATTTTAAATTTTTATCTTGTAATTGTGGTTGATCTTTTTCTTCTTTTTCTCTTTGATGTTTCTCTTGTTCCAATTTTAATTTTAATCTGTGCTTTTCTAATTTCTCTTTTTCTTTTTGTTTTTGTTGTAGCATTTGTTGCTGTTGAAGTTGCTCTTGTTTTTTTTGTTGCTCTTTTTTAATTGCTAAATGGGTTTGACCTTCTAAATTTAAGAGATGAAATGAATCGCTCCTTCTTTTGTTAGACGAGTTTTTTTCTGTATTGCTATTACCTTGATCTGCTAGATTACTACTACTATTACTTGATTTCAATGCACTATGGGTGCTTGTACCTGTACTTGAATAACCACTAATATTAACAGCTCCACCGCCACTACCACCAGCACCATTACTACTTGTTAAAGTAGGAGAGGAAGTAGAAATTCTAAAACTTTCAATAATTAAGGGATTTTCATAAGCAATTTGTTTTAAATCTTGAAATGATGACTTCTCCTTTACTGATATTAAAAAATCTTCTTTTTTTTTTAAATATTCACCCTTTATTTCGTCTGGATAATCTTTTAGATATGGTTCAAAATAAATAAAATGAACATGATCTATTAAATTTCTTAATTCATTTCTGGTAATAAAATCCTTGTACTCAATTGCAAACAATTTGAAAATAACTAAATAAAAATTAATTGGTTAATATACATTAATTATAATAATAAACAATAAATAATAAATGGATATCTTACATTTTAATTTTTGGTCAATGTTTCCGTGCGATAAAACTGACAGTGCTTCGACCAATTCTTTAAAATCTAATAAATTATCCTCATCTTTATCGATTCTTTTAAACATTTTGAAGAGTAAACTGTTTTCGCAATTATTCCAATCTGGTAAAAATCTTAATATTAATTGTTGGAATTGTAAAAAGCCTATACCAGTTCCATCAACAGAAAGGAAATCAAATTCTTCTTTAAGTTCTTTTAGTTTTTGAATATCAAACTTGGTGATCTTCAAAAGATGTCTTAAATCCTTCTGTTCTTCTTTTTCTTTAACCTGTTTCTTTGTTATTTCCCAATGCTTTAGCTTTAGATCTTGAATTCTTTTCTTTGACAATACAACACCGATTCTTTTGTAAGAATTTTGAATAGTTTTGAATAGCTCAGGATTAAAAGGTTTGTTGGATAGGATTTCTGTTACCTGTATATGGTTTTTGGCATTCATCAATTGGTTCATATTCATTTCGATTAAACCCAATGCAATCTCTAATAAAACTCTACTGCCTCTAACGAAAAAGTTATCCCAAATTATTAATGTTGCTTGAGATGGTAGTGATACAGTAAACAAACATAAAAACCATTCCATTGATAATACCGGTATAACTGCCCCAATAGAATTTAAATGGCTATTTAATTCGGGAAATATCTCTTCCAGTAAATCTAATAATACACTTTGATCGACTTGACTTCCCAACATTGTTTTATTATAGTATTCAACCAATAATTGATCTGTAATATATGATAAACACCAAAAAACCTGTTCCTCTAATAATATTTAAAAAATATTAATAATTTTTACATTAATGAATTACTATACGACATAAATTATTTAATTACCATTTTCAATAATCATTAACAAAAAAAATGTTATATAATTTAAAGATTGACAATAACCAACATTTGGATTCGTTTCACTAAATACAAATAATATTCTTTTTAACTTTTCTTTAAAATCTGGATCTAAAGATTTAGGATGTGTTGGGAATGTTCTTTCTAAATCCTATAAAAAAAAATTATTAATATTAATTTTAATTTAAAATTTTAAGACTATTTACATACCGATAAAATTTCATGTTTATATCTTATAAATGTTATACTATTTGATTTATTGTATAATGAGTCATCATCTTTTAATGAATCGGTTGAGGATGAAATTACTGATAAGTTTGTTGGTGAGTTTAATGTTGATAAATCGTTATATGAGCTTGCTCTTGATATTTCAAGTGCAGTTGTTAGGGGTGCTGATGAATGTGGGCTACTATTATCTTCTCCATTGTAATTTTCTTCTTGATTTTTTAATAATGACCAATAATATCCCTTTTTAAAATCTAAATTGAAGCTATCTAAAAATATCGTCCATATTTCCTTTCTAAATTTTGGGTGAATTCCATGCGATAGAATTTCTTTAAATGATTCTTCGCCTGAGTGTCTTTTGATATATCTAAAAATTTCATCTTCTGAAATGCATGTGCTTTGAATATAATGTGTCCATTCTTCAAATCTATCTTCTTCTAATTTCTTTTGCAACTTTAACTCTTCGATTAATTCTGAATCTTCTGAATACTTGTATTCAAATCCGTATAAATCAACATAAATATCGCTATCTATTTGATCTATATCTTCTTCAAATGTATTCATTTTTTATAAAAAAAAAAAAAAAATAATTAAATTTTTTTTTTCTTTCTCTATTTATAGTTAAAATAACATAATTTAAATATATATGAATAATAAAAAAAAAAGAACTGTGTCTTTTGGAGACAATGACAAACTATAAAAAAAATAAAAAAAAGTAAAAAAATTTTTAAATAAAAATAAAAATAAAAATTTTTAAATATAAAAATAAAAATAAAAAAAAATTTTAAAAATAAAAAAGATAAAAATGCAAACCTAATTATTATAAATAATAAAATATAAATTTAGTTAATAACGAAGTGCAAATAATTTTCCCCATTTCAAAAATTATTCATATTTCTTAAAAATAATATAAAAAGAAATTTTTTTTTGGTAGTTTATTTGATTGCATATTAATCGATGAAAAAATTTATTATAAAAAAAAATTAACAATATCATTTAGTATCACAGTTATTTGAAAATTAAATAAAATTGAATTGTTATTGTTTTTTTTTTTTTATTAGAAAATAAAAATAAAAGATAAGATTGGAGTGGCCGCACATAGGGATGAATAAAGTATGTTGTTATCACCCACACCACTGAATATAAAAAGAAAGAATTATTAACTGTGAGATCTATTTTTTATGAAGAGCCGATTCAAATAAAAAAACAATTCAAAAGGCTGGTAAAGTCAAAACATATTTTTGGATTGGTATGTGTTTTTTTTTCATATCAATCCAAAAAAAAAAAAGATTTTTTTTTTATTTTTTTTTTTATTTTTTTTTTTTATTTTTTTTTTAAAATTTTAATAAAATTAAAATTTTTTATATTAGATTCGTTACAATATGGTTATTTTATAAGATTTAGGTAATATATTATAATAATGATCATCTTTTTTTTATATACAAAATTTATACAACAATACAAATATATACAAAAAACAAAACCTACCACACTTTTGAATATATACAAATTTTAATAATAATAAAAATACACCCACACACACAAAAAACAAGATAACCAGAAGTAAAATACACACAATATATGTTATCACACACTCACACACCCACATTCTAATTATAGTATCATTTTGTTTTTTTTTTCTGTTATCATATCAAATTATATAATTTTATTTTTTTAAAGACCTTATATTCACTTTTTTTTATTTTTTTATTTTTATTTTTTTTAATATTTATTATTTTATTTATTTATATTATTTATTTATTTGTTTATTTGTTTATTTATAACTTCCTTCTTTCTATTCACATAAAATTAAAATTAAAATTAATTAATTGTTGTTATATTTTTATTTTTATCATAAATATATATAATAATAATAAATTTGTATATTAATAGTTTATTACCTATATATATATATATATTTTATTTTAATTTTGTATTAATTAATTAATTTAATATTTAAATTCAGTTTAAATTTTATAAAATAACATCAATAATCATTATTATTTTTTTAACTCGTGTATACATTAGTATATATATATAATAGACAAATGGATACAAATGTTTTAAAAATATCAAATGATGGAGATGTAATTAAAAACTCATCAAGTAATGAAGAAGATATGTTGGTTAAGAATAAACGATTTAAACTTTTAATGCTTGGTGATTCTTCTACTGGTAAAACATCATTACTTTATCTTTATTCTGATGGTTTTAACTCCCACCAAGAGTATATGCCAAGTACTTTTGAAAATAGAGATAAAGTTGTTCCAATTGAAGATTCAAAATCAATTGCAGTTACATTACTTGATAGTAGCGGCCAGGACACCTATCAGGGTATTAGAAAAACTGCATATGCTCAAACAAACACTTTTATTTTATGTTTCTCAATTACTGATAGAGATTCATATCAAAATATTTTAAATACAGTAAGTACATTCATATCTTTATTTCTTCTACTATTTTACTCTTTCAGTATATTAACTTTTTTCAAATTATTTATTTCCAGTGGCACCCAGAAATTATAAAGGAATCAAATGCACCAATATTATTGGTTGGTACAAAAATAGATCAAAGAGAAGATAATAGTAATAATAACAACAATAATGAAAATAATAATTGCGTAGATAATAATAATGATAATAATAATAATAATAATAATGATAGTAATAATTATAATAATAACAATAATGAACAAGTTAAATTAGATAGATCAAAATTTGTCACACACGATGAAGGTTTAAATATGGCAAAAAGAATAAATGCGGTTGGGTATTTGGAATGTTCAACCCTAAATGAAAAAAGTATTGAAAAAGTTTTTAATACTGGCGCTTATTATGCATATAAATATTATTTAAAAACAAAACCAACAGATGAAAATGAATCAAATCAAAATAGCAAAGATTTTTCAAAAAGAATCAAAAAATTTAAAAAAGAAAAAAGTTGTAAAGTAAATTAAACCAAAAAGAAAAAGAAAGAAAAAAAGAAAAAGAAAAAGAAAAAGAAAAAAAAAAAAGAATATATATATGTAATTTTATTTTTAAAATAATATAATAAATATTTTATATATAATAACATCTATTTAGTTTAAAATATAATATCCTCCACTAAACTATACTTTTTATATTTATATT